TATACTAGGATCAGTAGAGCTGTTACAGCAATCTGAGTGTCACAAGAGCTACTCCAGATATACTAGGATCAGTAGAGCTGTTACAGCAATCTGAGAGTCACAAGAGCTACTCAGATATACCAGGATCAGTAGAGCTGTTACAGCAATCTGAGTGTCACAAGAGCTACTCCAGATATACCAGGATCAGTAGAGCTGTTACAGCAATCTGAGAGTCACAAGAGCTACTCCAGATATACTAGGATCAGTAGAGCTGTTACAGCAATCTGAGAGTCACAAGAGCTACTCCAGATATACTAGGATCAGTAGAGCTGTTACAGCAATCTGAGAGTCACAAGAGCTACTCCAGATATACCAGGATCAGTAGAGCTGTTACAGCAATCTGAGTGTCACAAGAGCTACTCCAGATATACTAGGATCAGTAGAGCTGTTACAGCAATCTGAGAGTCACAAGAGCTACTCCAGATATACCAGGATCAGTAGAGCTGTTACAGCAATCTGAGAGTCACAAGAGCTACTCCAGATATACTAGGATCAGTAGAGCTGTTACAGCAATCTGAGAGTCACAAGAGCTACTCCAGATATACTAGGATCAGTAGAGCTGTTACAGCAATCTGAGAGTCACAAGAGCTACTCCAGATATACCAGGATCAGTAGAGCTGTTACAGCAATCTGAGTGTCACAAGAGCTACTCCAGATATACCAGGATCAGTAGAGCTGTTACAGCAATCTGAGTGTCACAAGAGCTACTCCAGATATACCAGGATCACTAGGATTGACTAGAGTTTTGTCACAAGAGCAATGGCATAGGCCCAGAATACCTGAAGGAACTCCTTACTCCCAGATATACTAGGATCAGAGCAAGGAGCTACTCTCAGATCTACTAGGATCAGTGCCTCTGTTACAGCAATCTAGGAAGGAGTCACAAGAGCTACTCTCAGATATACCCTAGGATCATTAAATCAGCAGTTGACTTTTATTCTGAGTGTCAAACGAGCTTCTCAGATAATCTGAAGTCACAGCATTAGCAATCTGAGCACAGAGCTAACCAGCATCCTTGTGCAGTCACATTAGAAGTTCACAGCAATCAGAGAGTCACAAGAGCTACTCCAGATATACCAGGATCAGTAGAGCTGTTACAGCAATCTGAGTGTCACAAGAGCTACTCCAGATATACTAGGATCAGTAGAGCTGTTACAGCAATCTGAGAGTCACAAGAGCTACTCCAGATATACTAGGATCAGTAGAGCTGTTACAGCAATCTGAGTGTCACAAGAGCTACTCCAGATATACTAGGATCAGTAGAGCTGTTACAGCAATCTGAGAGTCACAAGAGCTACTCAGATATACTAGGATCAGTAGAGCTGTTACAGCAATCTGAGTGTCACAAGAGCTACTCCAGATATACTAGGATCAGTAGAGCTGTTACAGCAATCTGAGAGTCACAAGAGCTACTCCAGATATACTAGGATCAGTAGAGCTGTTACAGCAATCTGAGAGTCACAAGAGCTACTCCAGATATACTAGGATCAGTAGAGCTGTTACAGCAATCTGAGAGTCACAAGAGCTACTCCAGATATACTAGGATCAGTAGAGCTGTTACAGCAATCGGAGAGTCACAAGAGCTACTCCAGATATACCAGGATCAGTAGAGCTGTTACAGCAATCGGAGAGTCACAAGAGCTACTCCAGATATACCAGGATCAGTAGAGCTGTTACAGCAATCTGAGAGTCACAAGAGCTACTCCAGATATACCAGGATCAGTAGAGCTGTTACAGCAATCTGAGAGTCACAAGAGCTACTCCAGATATACCAGGATCAGTAGAGCTGTCATCCTGGTTAATGGAATCAACACAGACATCACCACTGAATCATGTTTAGTTACCTCACTCTGCACATGACTCCACATACAGACTACCCATGAAGATCCGGGTTAGAATTGATCTTCAGTAACCCATGCTTGTCGTAAGAGGCGACTACATGTATAACCGGATCGGGTGGTCAGGCTCGCTGACTTGGTTGACACATGTCATCGGTTCCCCAATGCGCAGATCGATGCTCATGCCGTTGATCACTGGATTGTCTGGTCCAGACTTGATTATTTACAGACCGCCATCATATAGCTGGAATATTGCTGAGTGCGGCGTAAATCTAAAGTCACTCCACATACAGACTACAGGAGCTTGTGTTTGCCATATCGCTAAATCATAATGGCTATGCCCTGCTTTTCAGACAGCAGTGGGATTGATAGGACAGGGGAAGGCCTTCATACCATACCTGTGGGGAGGCTGACATACTTTCATATTCATAAATTTCACAAATCTGTTTGTTTGTTCTTTAACATTGCACTTTGCAATATACCAGTTATATCACACCTGCCTGTAAATATTCGAGTCAGGACAAGACAATTACTGAGTGACTGAAACCAACACTCCACATGGGCAGGGTACTGACAAGGGTACCAAGTCACCAACGCTCCACATGGGCAGGGTACTGACAAGGGTACCAAGTCACCAACGCTCACCATGGGCAGGGTACTGACAAGGGTACCAAGTCACCAACGCTCCACATGGGCAGGGTACTGACAAGGGTACCAAGTCACCAACGCTCCACATGGGCAGGGTACTGACAAGGGTACCAAGTCATCAACGCTCCACATGGGCAGGGTACTGACAAGGGTACCAAGTCACCAACGCTCCACATGGGCAGGGTACTGACAAGGGTACCAAGTCACCAACGCTCCACATGGGCAGGGTACTGACAAGGGTACCAAGTCATCAACGCTCCACATGGGCAGGGTACTGACAAGGGTACCAAGTCATCAACGCTCCACATGGGCAGGGTACTGACAAGGGTACCAAGTCATCAACACTCCACATGGGCAGGGGGTACTGACAAAGGGTACCAAGTCATCAGGGTACGCTCCACATGTCATCAACACTCCACATGGGCAGGGTACTGACAAGGGTACCAAGTCACAACGCTCCACATGGGCAGGGTACTGACAAGGGTACCAAGTCATCAACACTCCACATGGGCAGGGTACTGACAAGGGTACCAAGTCACCAACACTCTACATGGGCAGGGTACTGACAAGGTACTACCAAGTCACCAACACTCCACATGGGCAGGGGTACTGACAAGGGTACCAAGTCATAACACTCCACATGGGCAGGGTACAAAGGGTACCAAGTCACAATCAACGCTCCACATGGGCAGGGTACTGACAAGGGTACCAAGTCATCAACGCTCCACATGGGCAGGGTACTGACAAGGGTACCAAGTCACCAACACTCCACATGGGCAGGGTACTGACAAGGGTACCAAGTCATCAACGCTCCACATGGGCAGGGTACTGACAAGGGTACCAAGTCATCAACGCTCCACATGGGCTGACAAAGGGTACAATGACGCCCACATGGGCAGGGTACTGACAAGGGTACCAAGTCATCAACGCTCCACATGGGCAGGGTACTGACAAGGGTACCAAGACAAGGGTACTGACAAGGGTACCAAGGCATCAACGCTCCACATGGGCAGGGTACTGACAAGGGTACCAAGTCACCAACGCTCCACATGGGCAGGGTACTGACAAGGGTACCAAGTCACAGAGCCTAAGTACCAATCTATTTGATGACCTCTCACAACCAGCATCAGTTTCTGGGGATCCGTTGTAATCCAGAACCCCACAGCCAGCGTTCTGTAGGTGGCGCTGCAGCCCATTAGAGTTTCGATTCCCCACTAGCTACAGTGTGTGTGTTTCCATATACTCTCTCACTCAACAGTCAGTGTGGCAGTGCAGGTTCAGCATCTGTCAGCCTCGGTAAACCAGGTCAGCACAACAAATACAGTTTTTATCTTAAATTGTTTTTATTTCAGTCCTTGTAATTTACTACCATTCCTTTGCGGGGGTCGGGAAAGTGGAAGACTGTGTTCCATTTCATTACATGGAAACAAGGATTTGTTTGTGAATACACAATGCCATTTAGAAAGTGGTCAAATGTAACATATGCTATATTTAGGATAACACTTTCTCAGTGAGTACAAACTGTAGTACTTTTGTTAGGTTGAGTCCAATCTGGGATTCGAACCTTCACTCTGAGGATTTGTTTGATTATGTATTGAAGGGGATAGTTTGTGTCTGTTGAACTACTACTCACATCCCCATTCCCTCCTCCTTCAGGTCTAGCATGCTTTAGATAATCTTATAAACCTCCAGTGACGTCACTCTATTGTCTCGCAAGGTTCTCCTTTCACCGAGTAAACCTCCACAGGCAGTTTCTTCAAGAAATCCCGGGTTTTTCTTCAGAATTGCCCGCATCCCAGGGATTTTGTGAGCAATAACCCTTGAATTATTTTACTTGTTTTGAAGATTGATACAACTTTGTCTTGATTGTAAAATATCACATTATTGAAAACTTCCAATATATTGTGCCGATGCTCGGTTTCGAACATGCAACCCTTCGCTTTCTAGCTTGGTGGTTTTATCCACTAGGCTATGAAGGATCACTGTGAAGAATGTGATTGTTTGTCAGCATGAACCATGTGTTCCTCACAAGACAAGTAGCGCGTGCAGGGCACAGGTAGCGCGTGCAGGGCACGGGTAGCGCGTGCAGGGCACATGTATTGCATGTGCAAGGCTAGGTATCGGTTCATAAGTTGGATCAAAACCCCCTCCTCAGTTTTGTTTAAAAAAGAAAGCCCTTGGCATCGGGAAATCAGGTCGGGACTTTCGTCCCTCCCCAATTTCCCTCTGCCGCGGGCTTACTGTTTCAAACAAAACCTCGGAGTTGGTTTTGATCCTTCACATCTAGCACAGCTACCTGTACAGCTGGTACATTTCCATGTACGCTTCCATCAATCAAGCTACATGGACTGCCCATCGGCTCTCCCTATCAGGACCAGACACACAGCCGGAGGTCGTTTTCACATAACCAAACCACACCATGCTTGAGATCGTCACCCACAAAGGGCTCTGAATACATTAAACATTATACAGACAGATAATCCACAACCAATGAATTTAATATTCCTTTTTACAGACACACTATCATTCTGGATGAGGGGAACCGCCCCTACAAGCTGGTTCATCATAAAGTTTCTGCACTTTGAGTAACTGTGTGTCAGCAGCGATGAATGTAACATAGAAGTGGTCATGTCTCATGGATAGCATTGTGTTCACTCAGTGAAATGGCGTGGCTTCTACATATTACAATTTCAAACAATCACATTTCAGACATCATGTTTGTTGCGAGTAAGATGCAGTCACTGTCAGACAACCTCACACCTCCACTGTCACGCCTCCTCCCATCTCTTGAGCAGAGTTGCTGCTTTGCGTGCCGTCTCCTCAATCTCCCGTTTGCTAACTGGTCCCACATTCCGGAAAGGGTTGGCTGGATCCAGCAAGAAGGGAGGCTTTCTAGAGGAGAAAAACAAATAGTCAGGAGCTGGAGAATTTTACTCAGGTTACAGTTGGGTGAAAATACTGTGAAATCAAAAAATAAAAGCAAGATGTTAAGCCAACAAGAGTGATGCAAGTATTAATCTCCATGTCTGTAGTGATAGTCCAGCTATCCCCGTTGTACCCATGGGAAACATTCAGTGTGAGAAGAACATTCTCTAACCACTAGGACAAGCTACCACTCATAAGCCATAGAGAGAAATGGTTCTTATTATATGCCACGGGCAGCAATACAAAAGTTGATAACTAAAACCAGGCCAGACATATCAGCAGTTGATAATCTGATCTCCATGGAGATGTATTCATTTTATTCACATATAGTTGTAGGGCCACAGCTGATAATCTGATCTCCATGGAGATGTATTCATTTTATTCACATGCTGATATATCTGATCTCCATGGAGATGTATTCATTTTATTCACATATAGCTGTTGGGGAGATGTATTCCACAGCTGATAATGTGATCTCCATGGAGATGTATTGTTGGGCCACATTTTATTCATGGAGATGTATTCATTTTATAGCTGTTTGGCCACAGCTGATAATGTGATCTCCATGGAGATGTATTCATTTTATTCACATATAGCTGTTAGCGCCACAGCTGATAATGTGATCTCCATGGAGATGTATTCATTTTATTCACATGTAGTAGCTGTTGGGCCACAGCTGATAATGTGATCTCCATGGAGATGTATTCATTTTATTCACATGTAGCTGTTGGGCCACAGCTGATAATGTGATCTCCATGGAGATGTATTCATTTTATTCACATATAGCTGTAGGGCCACAGCTGATAATGTGATCTCCATGGAGATGTATTCATTTTATTCACATATAGCTGTTGGGCCACAGCTGATAATGTGATCTCCATGGAGATGTATTCATTTTATTCACATATAGCCATGATAATTTACTTGAAAATATTACACCAAGATATTTATACAACGTTACCAATGCCCCAAAGAACCACTTTTGTTTATTACTTATCTAAATCAACGTTACGTTTCCACTCATCGTAGAAGCTGAGTTATCAAAGTTTGACAACTACATTGTATTTACAGAACTTGAAAATATAATTATATCATCTACATAGAGTAACATAACTAATTCTTGCACCTTCATGATGTAATTGTATACCATTATCATTATTTCTGGGATTTTTTATCTGCAATCTCATTAACATACAAATAGAAAAAAGGTTTAATACACATCCTTGGCACACACCAGTATGGCAGATGGACAAATCTGAATAGATTCACAGGAAGTCATGATAGTGTAACCGTGAAACACATCGGAGGCATCTGAGACAGCAAAGGTTCTTATGCCATTGAAACTTAACATGGCAGCCACAAACATCATATGCCATCATTCCCACCGTAACATCACGACTGAATGTTATTGATATTACTTACAGGCTCTTTCTGTATTCTTTGTAATCATAGTGGTCCGTGAAAGCGATGGCCATGGTTTTACATTCTATCAGCTGACTAATGATGTTCTTCAAACACTCCTCAAGGTTGATGTCCTGGGGAGTATTGGCCTCCCTCCACTGTTGGACAACCAGGAGCTCTAGGAAGTAGGACCTCAGTGGGACGTCCTCAACCTTACACAGAAACAACACCATATCAGTGGGACATCCTCAACCTTACACAGAAACAACACCATATCAGTGGACGTTGCGGACAACCTTACACAGCCCTCAACCTTACACAGAAACAACACCATATCAGTGGGACATCCTCAACCTTACACAGAAACAACACCATATCAGTGGGACATCCTCAACCTTACACAGAAACAACACCATATCAGTGGGACGTCCTCAACCTTTACACAGAAACAACACCATATCAGTGAACAGACATCCTCAACCTTACACAGAAACAACACCATATCAGTGGGACATCCTCAACCTTACACAGAAACAACACCATATCAGTGGGACGTCCTCCCTCAACCTTACACAGAAACAACACCATATCAGTGGGACATCCTCAACCTTACACAGAAACAACCCATACACAGAAACAACACCATATCAGTGGGACATCCTCAACCTTACACAGAAACAACACCATATCAGTGGGACGTCCTCAACCTTACACAGAAACAACACCATATCAGTGGGACATCTTCAACCTTACACAGAAACAACACCATATCAGTGAGACGTCCTCAACCTTACACAGAAACAACAGCACATCACAGCGTTGCCCTCAACCTTACACAGAAACAACACCATATCAGTGGGACGTCCTCAACCTTACACAGAAACAACAGCACATCAACAGCGTTGCCCTCAACCTTACACAGAAACAACACCATATCAGTGGGACATCCTCAACCTTACACAGAAACAACACCATATCAGTGGGACGTCCTCAACCTTACACAGAAACAACACCATATCAGTGGGACATCCTCAACCTTACACAGAAACAACACCATATCAGTGGGACATCCTCAACCTTACACAGAAACAACACCATATCAGTGGGACGTCCTCAACCTTACACAGAAACAACAGCACATCAGCGTTGCCCTCAACCTTACACAGAAACAACACCATATCAGTGGGACATCCTCAACCTTACACAGAAACAACACCATATCAGTGGGACGTCCTCAACCTTACACAGAAACAACACCATATCAGTGGGACATCCTCAACCTTACACAGAAACAACACCATATCAGTGGGACATCCTCAACCTTACACAGAAACAACACCATATCAGTGGGTTGCCTCCTCTTACACCTTACACAGAAACAAAACAACAACCATATCAGTGGGACGTCCTCAACCTTACACAGAAACAACAGCACATAACAGTGGGACGTTCCCTCAACCTTACACAGAAACAACACCATATCAGTGGGACATCCTCAACCTTACACAGAAACAACACCATATCAGTGGGACGTCCTCAACCTTACACAGAAACAACACCATATCAGTGGGACGTCCTCAACCCTCAACCTTACACAGAAACAACACCATATCAGTGGAGACGTCCTCAACCTTACACAGAAACAACACCATATCAGTGGGACATCCTCAACCTTACACAGAAACAACACCATATATCAGTGGGACATCCTCAACCTTACACAGAAACAACACCATATCAGTGGGACATCCTCAACCTTACACAGAAACAACACCATATCAGTGGGACGTCCTCAACCTTACACAGAAACAACAGCATATCAGTGAAGCGTTGCCCTCAACCTGGGACGTCCTCAACCTTACACAGAAACAACACCATATCAGTGGGACGTCCTCAACCTTACACAGAAACAACACCATATCAGTGGGACGTCCTCAACCTTACACAGAAACAACACCATATCAGTGGGACATCCTCAACCTTACACAGAAACAACACCATATCAGTGGGACATCCCTCAACCTTACACAGAAACAACACCATATCAGTGGGACGTCCTCAACCTTACACAGAAACAACACCATATCAGTGGGACATCCTCAACCTTACACAGAAACAACACCATATCAACAGCACATAACAGGCGTCCCAACACCATCAACCTTCAACCACACAGAAACAACACCATATCAGTGCGACATCCTCAACCTTACACAGAAACAACACCATATCAGTGGACACGTCCTCAACCTTACACAGAAACAACACCATATCAGTGGGACATCCTCAACCTTACACAGAAACAACACCATATCAGTGGGACATCCTCAACCTTACAACAGAAACAACAACACCATATCAGTGGGACATCCTCAACCTTACACAGAAACAACACCATATCAGTGGGACGTCCTCAACCTTACACAGAAACAACACCATATCAGTGGGACATCCTCAACCTTACACAGAAACAACACCATATCAGTGGGACATCCTCAACCTTACACAGAAACAACACCATATCAGTGGGACATCTTCAACCTTACACAGAAACAACACCATATCAGTGGGACGTCCTCAACCTTACACAGAAACAACACCATATCAGTGGGACATCCTCAACCTTACACAGAAACAACACCATATCAGTGGGACATCCTCAACCTTACACAGAAACAACACCATATCAGTGGGACGTCCCTCAACCTTACACAGAAACAACACCATATCAGTGGGACATCCTCAACCTTACACAGAAACAACACCATATCAGTGGGACGTCCTCAACCTTACACAGAAACAACACCATATCAGTGGGACATCTCAACCTTACACAGAAACAACACCATATCAGTGAGACGTCCTCAACCTTACACAGAAACAACAGCACATATCACAGCAACACCATATCAGTGGGACCCTCAACCTTACACAGAAACAACACCATATCAGTGGGACGTCCTCAACCTTACACAGAAACAACACCATATCAGTGGGACATCCTCAACCTTACACAGAAACAACACCATATCAGTGGGACATCCTCAACCTTACACAGACCTTCAGTGGGACACAGAAACAACACCATATCAGTGGGACATCCTCAACCTTACACAGAAACAACACCATATCAGTGGGACGTCCTCAACCTTACACAGAAACAACACCATATCAGTGGGACGTCCTCAACCTTACACAGAAACAACACCATATCAGTGGGACGTCCTCAACCTTACACAGAAACAACACCATATCAGTGGGACATCCCTCAACCTTACACAGAAACAACACCATATCAGTGGGACATCCTCAACCTTACACAGAAACAACACCATATCAGTGGGACATCCTCAACCTTACACAGAAACAACACCATATCAGTGAGACGTCCTCAACCTTACACAGAAACAACAGCACATAACAGCGTTGCCCTCAACCTTACAGTGGGACATCCTCAACCTTACACAGAAACAACACCATATCAGTGGGACGTCCTCAACCTTACACAGAAACAACACCATATCAGTGGGACATCCTCAACCTTACACAGAAACAACACCATATCAGTGGGACATCCTCAACCTTACACAGAAACAACACCATATCAGTGGGACGTCCTCAACCTTACACAGAAACAACACCATACACAAACAACACCATATCAGTTGGACATCCTCAACCTTACACAGAAACAATACCATATCACAGTGTTGTCCTCAACCTTACACAATCAGTCTGGAGGTATCAAAAGTATTTTTTCATGTGTTTGTTTTTTATTCCAATTTGTACTATGCAAACTTAACATGCTGATTAAATCAGTAACTCTGCTGAACATCTCATGCTCAGCTACCTTGATCCAGTACTTGAGGAGTCTGATCAAGTCCTTGACCTTGCCGGGGGTCGACACTCGGTTAGTGGCTGAGACAAAGTCCAACTGAAGAGGTGCAAAACAGCATGAGTACGGATCCCTCTCTGGTCCAGACAGAAGTTGCATTTCACTGTAGATTTCAGACAGCTGACCTGCAATTTTGTTGGATAAGTGTGATCAACAGTAATACATACATGTCACACTACATCTGGTCCTGCCACATTGCATCTAAGATGTCACAGTACATCTAGGACTGTCACACTACATCTAGAAATTCCACACTACATTTAGGAATTTCACACTACATCTAGGACTGTCACACTACATCTAGGACTGCCACACTACTAGGACTCACACTAGGACTGTCACACTACATCTAGGACTGTCACACTACATCTAGGACTGTCACACTACATCTAGGACTGTCCACACTACATCATCTAGGATACATCTAGGATGTCACACTACATCTAGGACTGTCACACTACATCTAGGAGGATGTCACACTACATCTAGGAATGTTACATCTAGGATGTCACACTACATCTAGGACTGTCACTGTCACACTACATCTAGGATGTCACACATCTACATCTAGGACTGCCACACTACATCTAGGATGTCACACATCATACATCTAGGACTGTCACACTACATCTAGAAATTCCACACTACATCTTAGGAATGCCACACATCTAGGACTGTCACATCTAGGACTGCCACACTACATCTAGGACTGTCACACTACATCTAGGATGTCACACTACATCTAGGACTGCCACACTACATCTGGGGATGTCACACTACATGTAGGGATGCCACACTACATCTAGGATGTCACACTACATCTAGAACTGCAATACTACATCTAGGACTGCACATCAGGTTACGATGTAGTTTATGAACAAACTTCGCAGCGACCAAGGACAGATATGGATTCCACGTATATGTCCATCTGAGTCAGCTCTAGGGAACAGAGGCCCTGATAATCCAAAATGTTTTCAAGAAGTTCTTTATCTAGTACACCCGTGAAGGTCTGGGTTAGAATATTGATCTTCAGAAAGCCATGCTTGTTGTAAGAGGTGACTAACGAGATCAGGTGGTCAGGCTCGCTGACTTGGTTAACACATGTCATCCGTTCACGATTGCGCAGATTGATGCTCATGCTGTTGATCACTGGATTGTCTGGTCCAGACTCGATTATTTACAGACCGCCGCCATATAGCTGGAATATTGCTGAGTGTGGCATAAAAGTACACTCACTCACTCACTTTATCTAGTACATGTACAGCAGTAATAGATTTTTAAGACCATTTCCTCATGTTCATAGAAACCATGTTTGAAACATAAAATTGTATATAGTGCCTACGATTATTTTGTCAGTTGACAATTTTGGAAAAATACATTCTCCATTGTATCATTTTTATCATTTTGAATTGGTGCATGCAGGAACAGGAAGGATATCTGTCCACAGGAAGTGACACATACGTCCACTCTGGGTGATGTCCAGTGCAGGAAGAAGGTCCACCTCATGTTCCTTGTCATCAGTATCAATCTTCAGATAGAACTGAAGAGAATATGGCGTCTTCTCTTTCAAAATAAGATGATCGGACCAGTCCTTCTTGACATAGTCTTCCAACTGCTGCAGCAACCTCTCTTTGTCATTCTGAAGCTCCTGGACAGTGTTGTAGCCATTGAAGAAGATTATAAGGTCAATGTCAGACCTATCTTTCACAGAAGTACCCTTGCCCAACGAGCCACCCTGGAATAATAATCTTGATGATTATGATTTGTTTGAGTGGCAGTCTAGATGTTAGTGGTGTGGAGATGACAAAACTTCATGGATGATCAACTTCTTTATATTTACAATAGCGACGTTTCAGTATAGCCTCTTATACAATTGAAAAACGGTATATTTGAAGCCATACCGAGATGTCGCTACTGTGAATATATAGAAGTTGATCATCCATGATGATTATGGTTTCATGAAGGGTGTTGAAGCTGATGAGCTGAAAAGTGGTAGGGAATGAAGAGTGTTATGTCCTGAAGTAAATATTTCAAACTTATCTGACAGAAAAATAACAAAGATTACAATTGGACAAAAAGTGAAAATATGCAAGTCAGATATATTTTGACACCTGGCAGACATTTACATTTTCAGTTTCACTAACACATCAACAAACTATATGCAAATATGTTCATTTTCTGACATGGTCACCACTATCAGTGTCAAGTCAGATCAAAAGCTCCGCAGCAGTGTTGACAATCAGATGGCAGTGTAAGGTGAATGGACAGCTGCTGTGTAAAGGTTCATTGATACACATCACCATCATCCTTGAACTCATGATTTGAGTAGGTAGGCAATACGTGTACATTTAATGATAAACATTATATGACAGGCGACATGCAGACAATGGCTGATAGATGTATGAAATATTTATATTTATTTACAAATCCCAATTATACCTCGCAGAGAAGAAACTCCCAAGATGTAGTACAGTACCTTCAATATTCGCTTTATATTGAAAGGGCTTGTTCTAGCCTGTAGAGATCGAACAAGTTTGTCGATGATTTGCAGACACCGTGAATTAAATTTTTGATTGGGGCGGATTTCCCGATCAATGAACTTGTAGAGTGTGTCGCCCGTCTGCATCCCTGGTATCAGGAGGGCCTTAGTCCGAGGGCGTGACGGTGTCTGTAACATGTAACATGTAACGTGTATCATGTAAGCACTACTACAACCACCAGGGGTCATCTCAGATGCTGCACCACGCTGTGTAGCGGTCACGCCAGGGCAGGGCAGCTGGTTTGTTGCTGATATGCTTCCTGCAGCACTATACCCCGGATCGTGAGTTACACCTAAGTGGTGATGGTCTCAGACTCACATCAGGCTGGCAAGCCATGACAAATGACATACTGACAAATGATGGCCCTACACATTTGTAATATCTATGTATGTATGTGCAGATGAAGTTTATTTAGGCCAGACCAATTTTATTTCTTGTTTTACGGATTTTGTCCTCAGAAAACCTAAAGGCAGGAGGGAAAAAAATAAAAACAAAATCACCAATCAAAGTAATATTCCTTCTAAATACTGAAAGTATTTTACTTTTGGAATTTATGAAGTGTATATGGGGCAAAAATCAATCTAAAAAATTATTTTCTTGTAAGTTTACATTTTTGGCCAATATAAACATTAGCATTTTATTTTTTTAAAGTAATTTTTTTTTTCTTATTCTTGAAAAAAAATATGACAGGCAAATCCGTAAAACAGGAAATAAAATTGGTCTGGCCTTAGAAATATTTGTAATATCAGGGACATGTGCAACTTGTAATTAATATTTGTAATAAGCTAGCAAAAGGCTTGAGTGTTATCTGTCATCATGCTTCACAGAAGTGACACTTAGGCAGGAAAACAAGGCTCTCTTAGGTGCCTGCAGGCAGGTCTTCCCCCACAGGACACATATGTCAGACCTACGACTTGTACCAAACACCTAACTGCCATAATAAATGTACCAGTTTGTTCCTTGTTATCGCAGTTATCCCTTGCACTATAGCAGTATTTCTAGGCAGTAACAGACCCCTGTCTCCCTTGCACTACAGCAGTATTTCTTGGCAGTAACAGACCCCTGTCTCCCTTGCACTATAGCAGTATTTCTGTGCAGTAACCGACCCCTGTTACCCGACCTAGTATGAGCTTAACGTACCACACTCACTGAGCTGGGAGCAGCTGGACCTACTGGACCCACGGCGCCTAGAGTACCACTGCCCTTTCTGCTGCTGCTGACTTCATCAAACTGCTTCTTCATCAATGCCAGCTCATCTGGATCAAAACAGACAGTTTCCCCACATTTTTAACAATCAACAAAATACAATTCCCACATCATACATGTAGAGTATTTCATCTCTGATCAATTCATACATAGCTGACATAACTGTGTGGCAAGGGTATGTATCTGTCTGGGTCCATATCTGCACAGGGCTGACTTCAAAACAGAAAAGAAAACAGAAAAAGTAATCTTAATTTCTGATCCTGGCTCCTCATTCGCTGATCCCTCGCTCCTATCTCATATCAAATTCCTCACTCTTTCATACCTGCTCCTCATTCTCTTATTATAATGACTCCTAATTCTCTGATACCTGACTTGTTACTCTCTGATCCAAGCTACTAACTCTGTTATACCTGGCTGCTCACTCTGTGATACCTGGCTGCTCACTCTCTTATCCTGGCTCCTTACTCTGTGATATCTGGCTCCTTACTCTGTGATACCTGGCTGCTCACTCTGTTATCCTGGCTCCTTACTCTCTGATCCAAGCTACTAACTCTGTGATACCTGGCTGCTCACTCTGTTATCCAGGCTCCTTACTCTGTGATACCTGGCTCCTTACTCTGTGATACCTGGCTGCTCACTCTCATATCCTGGCTCCTTACTCTGTGATACCTGGCTCCTCACTCTGTTATCCTGGCTCCTTACTCTCTTATCCTGGCTCCTTACTCTCTGATCCAAGCTACTAACTCTGTGTTACCTGGCTGCTCACTTTGTTATCCTGGCTCCTTACTCTGTGATATCTTGCTCCTTACTCTGTGATACCTGGCTGCTCACTCTGTTATCCTGGCTCCTTACTCTCTGATCCAAGCTACTAACTCTGTGATACCTGGCTGCTCACTCTGTTATCCTGGCTCCTCACTCTGTGATCCTGGCTCTGTGATACCTGGCTGTGATACCTGGCTCCTCACTCTCATATCCTGGCTCCTTACTCTGTGATACCTGGCCTGGCTGCTCACTCTGTTATCCTGGCTCTTACTCTGTGATATCCTGCCTGGGCTGCTCTCTCTGACTCTGTTATCCTGGCTCCTCACTCTGTATCCTGGCTCTCTGTGATACCTGGCTGCTCACTCTGTGATACCTGGCTCCTTCACTCTCTGGCTCCTCCTGGCTCCTTACTCTCTACTAACTCTGTGATACCTGGCTGCTCCTCTTGTTCTCCTGGCTCCTCCTGGCTCCTTACTCTGTGATACCTGGCTCCTTACTCTGTTGGCTCCTACCTGGCTCCTTGACTCTGTTATCCTGGCTCCTTACTCTGTGATACCTGGCTACTACTCTGTGGCTGGCTGCTCACTCTGTATCCTGGCTCCTCACTCTCTGATATCCTGGCTCCTTACTCTGTGATACTGGCTGTTCTGTGATCCTGGCTGCTCACTCTGTTATCCTGGCTCCTTACTCTCTTACTCTGATCCTGGCTCCTTACTCTGTGATACTGGCTGCTCACTCTCTTATCCTGGCTGCTCACTCTCTTATCCTGGCTCCTTACTCTCTGTGATACCTGGCTGCTCACTCTGTTATCCTGGCTCCTTACTCTGTGATACCTGGCTGGCTGGCTCTCTCTCTGTTATCCTGGCTCCTTACTCTGTTATCCTGGCTCCTTACTCTGTGATACCTGGCTCCTCACTCTGTTATCCTGGCTCTCACTCTGATATCCTGGCTCCTTACTCTCTTATCCTGGCTACTAACTCTGGCTCCTGATATCCTGGCTGCTCACTGTTATCCTGGCTCCTTACTCTCTTTATCCTGGCTCCTAACTCTGTGATACCTGGCTGCTCACTCTGTTATCCTGGCTCCTTACTCTGTGATACCTGGCTCCTTACTCTGTGATACCTGGCTGCTCACTCTCTTATCCTGGCTCCTTACTCTCTGATCCAAGCTACTAACTCTGTGATACCTGGCTGCTCACTCTCTTATCCTGGCTCCTTACTCTGTGATATCTGGCTCCTTACTCTGTGATACCTGGCTGCTCACTCTCTTATCCTGGCTCCTTACTCTCTGATCTCTATTAACTCTGATTATCCTGGCTCTCACTCTCTTATCCTGGCTCCTCAATCTGTGTCCTGGCTTCTACTCTGTTATACCTGGCTGCTCTCTCTATCCTGGCTTCTCTCTCTCTATCCTGGCTTCTATCTCTCTTGTGATCCTGGCTTCTCTCTGGCTTCTCTCTCTCTTATCCTGGCTTCTCTCTCTTATCCTGGCTTCTCTCTCTCTTATCCCGGCTCCTCACTCTCTTAACCTGGCTCCTCACTCTGTGATACCGGGCTTCTCCCTCTCTTATCCTTTCTCTCTCTCTTATCCTGGCTTCTCTCTCTCTTATCCTGGCTTCTATCTCTCTTATCCTGGCTTCTCTCTCTCTTATCCTGGCTTCTATCTCTCCTGGCTTCTATCTCTCTTATCCTGGGCCTAGATTTTAGAAGCTCTCTTAGCGCTAAGATAGTCGTAAGTGCCATACATTAACATTAACTTACGACTATCTTAGCGCTAAGAGAGCTTTGAAAATCTAGGCCCTGGCTCCTATCTCTCTTATCCTGGCTCCTCACTCTCTGATACTGGGATTCAAGGTACCATACCATCAGAACCAAACTGAGGATGTGTCGTAACACTTATCCTTTAATACATGGTCTAGTCGACTGTCAGGTCTCCTTAGGCAAGTGACTTTGCTTCTAACACACCTTACTGGACCAGTCATTGATGGGTGCCCAGAAGGATGAGATAGTAACACCTTTGTTAATATTGTTGTGCCTATTAAGGCCGTTATCATCATCATAACTATTTTGCCAACTTGAAAAACTTGACAAAATCAATATTTCCAGCATTCCTCATACATGATTCAATGCATGTTTGATACTTTGAGAAAGCTACAGCTAGGTTGGGTGTCCTACCTCTTAGTTGCTGGATCTCTTCATCCTTCCGCTGGATCTCCTTGTCCTTCTCCTGCAACAACCTATCTGCCATTACCCTCTCCTTCCTCACCGTGGCCACCATGTCATGTAGTTGTCTCCCTTGGTCTGTGACTGGAACACAAAACATGGCTACAGAAGAACAGCCAAGTTCTTCTGTGTTGATGATCATTCAGCAGAGAGAGAGAGCAGTGAACCCTTGTTAGTTCAGACCCCATAAGACCAGATTACTATTATTGTCCCAGTTATCAGATAATTATCTGTAAATCTGGAATTTCTAGTGTGTGCATCCTCTTCATTAAATCCTGACTCTGCCTCTGATGACTTTTTAGTTACACTAGTACTAGCCTTATGCCCCTTGTATACACAAAGTACTCTGCTGTACCATCACTTCCAACAACCCTTCTTATAAACAATGTTGATAATCTTCAGACTGTATATCAATGACTAAGTCTAAAACTTACCCATCTTCTCCAACTGGTCAATGGCATTATTGTCAGCCATTGACCTTGGGTTGTCAAACCTAGAGGCTGTGTCATTAACCCTTGGGTAGGGAACCCTTGACCTCGAGTTACCACGGTTACTGTTATCCCATACATCAGTCCCTCCATCACCATATGGATTGTCTGGAACATGATATGTGCACCATGGTGATTTGATGTCAAAACCACATACATTGTACATGTTTAAAGGAAGTAACCTTATTTCATAATTTTTAGTCACTAACACATCTTGCACATTCACTTCACATTGTTAACAGAACATACTATTCTTCCTATTTCAGGTGCTGGACCTTCAAAACCTCTTAAATAATAGTGTTGACATTTTTAAAACAGCGTGTTCAAAATGAATGGATTCCCAGCTGCCTACAGGAGGAAAGTGGTTGTCACAATACTAGACTGCTGAACATGCCAACATGGGCACAATAGACGCTGAGAAACAATTTTTTCTCAAATTAGAATTCTGTTGGTACGGTACTGTACGTATTGCGGTACAAGGCCTTCGGTTCGGTCCGTTTCGGTTCGGTATATGAGAGCTTACTGTCAAGCAAAGAAACGCATAGATTTTGACAAAATGTTCAATTTCTAGACCTTTAAGAAAAGGGTTAAAAAGGTTAATAAAAACATGGTACGAAAACCGAAAATACAGAATTTTTTGGGATTGCAGTAATTACGTACCGAACTGTATACCGTACCGAAGGCTAAATACGGCGGTTCTACTATAATACCGTGGTTTATCGTTTCATCCCTAACACCTTCAGCACAAATTGGAAACAAAAAGGAACCCAGCTGATGTTATACATGCTGCATGTGATGCTGCCACCTTGTAATGGTGTCTTGGATGGATCAGAAACTAGACATTGATGTATGGTAATGATTGTCACACCCCACCCCCACAAACAACACCCACACATTTCCCACACCCACATACAACACACACACATCCTCCACACCCCACAAACAACACCCACACATTTCCCACACCCACATACAACACACACACATCCTCCACACCCCACATCCCACACCCACATACAACACACACACATTCCCCACACCCACATACAACACACACACATCCTCCACACCCCACATCCACATACAACACACACACCCACATACAACACACACACATCCTCCACACCCCACATCCACATACAACACACACACACACATACAACACACACACATCCTCCACACCCCACATCCACATACAACACACACCCGCAATACAACACACACACGGATGGATGTAGCCGACAGCCTAGCCGAGACATACATCGCATTACAGATCTATACACATTACTGTATACCTACCTTTGTAATACATGAAAATGGGAAATGAAAGACTTAAATTATAATAAAAAAATACATACATCGCGGCTGTCGGCAAACTTATACTAGGCATCTTATACCGAGGCAAAGGGACACACGCGGGTGTTTAGTTTTACTTAACTGCTTAGACTGCAAAACTGAAATACGTTAAACATACTTCCTAGTTGGAATGCGATATTTTTGACAATGTTCTGACACTAAATGTAGTATGAGCAGGGGCGGATCCAGATGGGCAATGTGGGATCCAAAATACAGGCATGCCCTCCTGTATTCTTGAATGTCTGTGGACATATTTAAGTTCCTAAGATGAATAATGATCTGACATAACGTTCTCACTCCAGAAAGAAGCATGGCAATTTATCACTTTAGCCCATAAATGACGAACAAAGATCAACAGAACGTTCCACTTACCTGCCATTTTACAGCCTCGCGACAAAGTGAAATTTGGAAAAACCCGCTCTATTTATAGGCTGTTTCGCCTTACTGCTGTACAGCGTTAACAGAGAGTACATATGTGCACATGACGATCGAATCGTTTGACATCAATGGTCTCTCAAACCAGAGACCATTATATGGTCTCTGCTCAAACCACCAAAATATACGAGAAAACCTCTTTTCAAATGTGTTCTATGTTTTAATGAAATAGTATCCATTTTTAAAAATAATCCTTTTCCACACTGTACTAGTTCTATATAAAATATATGCTTTGTGCAGAAATGGGGGTTTTATTTATCATAATGACTTTTAGAGCTAAAAATAACTCTTTTATGTAAATTTAAGACTAAAAGCAAACTAAAAAGATCTGGTGACTTACAGCATAATGAGAAATATACTCCTTAACCAAATATGCATGGTATTTGATGTTAAAACCATTGTTTTGTTCCGGAGTTTTGCAACTTTTTCAGTTCCTGGTTAAATTTTGGCGGCAATCTTGGATTTTGAGCTAGAAATAGCTTTCGCATTAACATTCAGATTGGAACCAAACTTTTTTTAAACTTCTTTAACATATAAACACAAAAGAATATATGATTTGCTTTCATCAAAAAACTGTCATGAAATCCCATAAGCTGCTTGACTAATTACGGAAGATCTGTAAATTTCTAGACCCCTCTGCCAAATGGCAAAACCTGATATACTTGCAAAATAATGAAAATGCGAGGGACAACTTACCATTACTCTTGCGCCACATGTTCGTCTTTCACTGTCCAGCGAGGAAATTGAGTTGCTTTTGGGGCAACTCCACATTTCGTGTGGACAGCGCTTCCACCCTGTGATACAAGCAAGTATCATTGTCATGACACATACTTCAATTTATTTTAATTTGATTCAGATGATTTAGATGGTCATTATATTTCTTCACGGGACCTTGGGCACTATTACAAATATTTAAAGCTCGTAACTAAATCATCAACATACCTTCCTGCTTCCACCCGTTCTACCTACAGTAGCCAACTTCTCCAATGATTTGTTCATAGAAGGAGAAGGTGACCTATCGGCACCGGACCTCGAAACTAACCCGAGGAATCGCAACGGGGTGCCCAACTCGGGAAGGGATGTTGGATCGGAAAAGTTATTCAACTCATAAGGAAAGATGCGGATGTAACCAACACAACAAACCCTCAGAATCTAAGAGTCACAAGAGCGGGAGTCGGCGGTCCCTGGTAGTGCCACATGTGTCTAGTACACTCTGATAGTGTCACATGTGTCTAGTACACTCTGATAGTGTCACATGTGTTTAGTACACTCTGATAGTGCCACATGTGTCTAGTGCACCCTGATAGTGCCACATGTGTCTAGTGCACCCTGATACTGCCACATGTGTCTAGTACACTCTGATATCGTCACATGTGCCTAGTGCACCCTGATAGTGTCACATGTGTCTAGTGCACCCTGGTAGTGCCACATGTGTCTAGTACGCTCTGATAGTGCCACATGTGTCTAGTACACTCTGATAGTGCCACATGTGTCTAGTACACTCTGATAGTGTCACATGTGTCTAGTACACTCTGATAGTGTCACATGTGTCTAGTGCACCCTGATAGTGCCACATGTGTCTAGTGCACCCTGATAGTGCCACATGTGTCTAGTACACTCTGATAGTGAAACCTGTATCTAGTACAATCTGATAGTGTCACATGTGTCTAGTGTACCCTGATAGTGTCACATGTGTCTAGTACACTCTGATAGTGTCACATGTGTCTAGTGTACCCTGATAGTGTCACATGTGTCTAGTACACTCTGATAGTGAAACCTGTATCTAGTACAATCTGATAGTGTCAGATGTGTCTAGTGTACCCTGATAGTGTCACATGTGTCTAGTACACTCTGATAGTGTCACATGTGTCTAGTACACCCTGATAGTGTCACATGTATCTAGTACGCTCTGATAGTGTCACATGTGTCTAGTACACTCTGATAGCGTCACATGTGTCTGGTACACTCTGATAGTGTAACATGTGTCTAGTACACTCTGATAGTGTCACATGTGTCTAGCGCACCTTGATAGTGCCACATGTGTCTAGTACGCTCTGATAGCGTCACATGTGTCTCGTACACTCTGATAGTGTCACATGTGTCTAGTGCACCCTGATAGTGCCACACGTGTCTAGTACACTCTGATAGCGTCACATGTGTCTGGTACACTCTGATAGTGTCACATGTGCCTAGTGCACCCTGATAGTGTCACATGTGTCGCGTACACTCGGATAGTATCACATGTGTCTAGTGCACCCTGATAGTGTCACATGTGTATAGTACACTCTGATAGCGTCACATGTGTCTGGTACACTCATATAGTGTCACATGTGTCTAGTGCACCCTGATAGGGTCACATGTGTCTAGTACACTCTGATAGTGTCACATGTGTCTAGTACACTCTGATAGTGTCACACGTGTCTAGTACACTCTGATAGTGTCACATGTGTCTAGTACACTCTGATAGTGTTACATGTATCTAGTACAATCTGGTAGTGTCACATGTGTCTAGTACACTCTGATAGCGTCACATGTGTCTGGTACACTCTGATAGTGTCACATGTGTCTAGTGCACCCTGATAGTGCCACATGTGTCTAGTACACTCTGATAGTGAAACCTGTATCTAGTACGCTCTGACAGTGTCACATGTGTCTAGTGTACCCTGATAGTGTCACATGTGTCTAGTACACTCTGATAGTGTCACATGTGTCTAGTACACCCTGATAATGCCACATGTATCTAGTACGCTCTGATAGTGTCACATGTGTCTAGTACACTCTGATAGCGTCACATCTGTCTGGTACACTCTGATAGTGTCACATGTGTCTAGTGCACCCTGATAGTGTCACATGTGTCTAGTACACTCTGATAGTGTCACATGTGTCTAGTGCACCCTGATAGTGTCACATGTGTCTGGTACACTCTGATAGTGTCACATGTGTCTAGTGCACCCTGATAGTGTCACATGTGCCTAGTGCACCCTGATAGTGTCACATGTGTCTAGTACGCTCTGATAGTGTCACATGTGTCGCGTACACTCGGATAGTATCACATGTGTCTAGTGCACCCTGATAGTGTCACATGTGTCTAGTACACTCTGATAGCGTCACATGTGTCTGGTACACTCTGATAGTGTCACATGTGTCTAGTGCACCCTGATAGTGTCACATGTGTCTAGTACACTCTGATAGTGTCACATGTGTCTAGTGTACCCTGATAGTGTCACATGTGTCTAGTAGACTCTGATAGTGTCACATGTGTCTAGTACACGCTGATAGTGTTACATGTATCTAGTGCAATCTGATAGTGTCACATGTGTCTAGTACACTCATATAGTGTCGCATGTGTCGCGTACACTCGGATAGTGTCACGTGTATCCAGTACACCCAGATAGTGTCACGTGTATTCAGTACACCCTGATAGTGTCACATGTGTCGCGTACACTCGGATAGTGACGCATGTAATGAAACTGAGGTTAATGTTAACTGATGTTAACTGGTGTAGGTCTACACATTAGATTCCGTGTTGGTGTTACCACTTATTACATAACGACTGAATATATTGCTCATATATAATCACACACACAAGTCCATTTCTGACATACCGAACCCTGTATTGCTCCATATAAAGTCTATCGACGGTGTTCAAAGAGGTCCTGTCTCGTTAAGTGACAAATATAATGTATATACCCAACTTTGACCTCATACAGTGTTTATACGGTCACCAGTAACAGTGTATCAACACAACAATACCCCCAAACGGGACCGGTTCTATTGAGATATATACACCTCACTCCCCCGCCCGCCATATTGTCGTCAGACTACGTGGCTGTACCGCTGCTGTCGGCTACACTGGAAGGTTCGCGGTTCGGGACATACACAGTAAGTAGACACTTTTATGAACTGGTGTAAACTATTCAAGACTCTTCGTCCTGCTATGTTCAGGTGAAAGCATGTGAGCTGTTAGCCGCGGATTGGGAATTACTCTCTTTGTATTACTACCCGAGAAGATTCCGGTTAGAATTGGCCTTCAGTAACCCATGCTTGTCGTAAGAGGCGGGTGGTCAGACTCGCTGACTTGGTTGATACTGTCATCGTACCCCAGTTGCGTAGATCGATGCTCATGTTGTTGATCACTGAATTGTCTGGTCCAGACTCGATTATTTACAGACCGCCGCCATGTAGCTGAAATGTTACTGAGTGCGGCGTAAAACAACAAACCAACCCCAACCCTTTGTATTACGGTATAGCCTCGGACTGAAATCATAACGACCTACTGAGGTACTAATATCCACAACACAGTCAAGTCTATTCATGCGTAGCAAATCAAACACTAGCTGGCAAAATATTCCTTATAGCCCTATAAGTTCCACCAAATGCATGCCTAATTCCTAATTGTAGGTGGGGCAGTCTAGTGGTTTAAGCATTCTCGTCACGCTGATTCCCCACATGGGGACAATGTGTGAAGCCAATTTCTGGAGTGACGGACCGTGAATTTGTTTGAATATTGCTAAAAGTGACGTAAAACCACTTACAAAAGTGAATAAGGTTTACTTTACGTAATAAAGTCCTTAACATGATGTTTGTTTCTTTCTTGTTTAACACCGCACCTAACAATATTCAAGGTATATCAGATAGGTCTATAAATAATCTACAACAAACATTCCAGTGATTGACGTCATGAGCATCGATCTACACAAACAGAATGTGGTACGATGTTAGCCGCCTCTTACGACAAGACCATTAATTCATGGTGGCCATAAATATGAAGTGGAAATGTGTCAAGTGTTTTCTATACAGCACGACTCTAACCACACCAGGATCCAATGATGGAGGGTTCGAATCACAGATTCACCTCAATTTTGCCCCCTAATTTGTCAGCATCCCACATTCTGATACCAGCTCACCTTAACGTACAGTGTGTCGGTCAGTATAAGTTCCGCCTTGTTTGGTCTTATGTGTCGACAGCTTACACATGATTTTTGTATGGTCCCCAGGGAGTCGAGATTGATAATACGATGTGCCGTTGAGATTGACATCCAATGATCGAGGGGGGAAATACCAGCGCCTTGAGCATGTACTAGTTGCGTAGATATGTGCGTTTTATAAATTATCCTATGATAATATTTAAGACAAAAACTACCATTTGTGAGATTTGAGCCGTGGTGGCTGAGTGAGTTACATCGCTGACTTTGAGGGACTCAAGATTATGTGGCTGACTCTGAGAGTGTGGGTTCGAATCCCAGATTGGACTCAATCCCTCAAAAGTACTAGAATTTGTACTTGTATGAGAAAGTGTAATCCAAAATATAATCTGAGAGACTCAAGATTATGTGGCTGACTCTGAGAGTGTGGGTTCGAATCCCAGATTGGACTCAATCCCTAAAAAGTACTAGAATTTGTACTTGAATGAGAAAGTGTAATCCAAAATATAACATACGTTTAATTTGACCACTTTCAAGATCACCGTATCCCAATTGCATAGATCGATGCTCATGATGTCACTCACAGGTTTGTCTGGTCCAGACTCGATTGTTTACAGACCGACGTCACATAGCTGAAAACTGCGGAGTGCGGCGGTAACAACAAACCAACATTGTGTATTCATAACATATTTAAAGCTGTAGACGATGGTTTTGATATGTCATGTGTTTGTCGTGCGTCAGCGTCGCCATGGCAGCAGGAGGAACACCGCTTATCAAGGGTATCAACTCCGGGGAATCTCTTCTCAAGTTCATCGACAGAGCTGTCCGGCCTGATGCTGGGTACATAGCAAAATGTCAGGAACTTGTTGGGAAGTTCGTCAAATTTCTGGACACCAAAAACGGACCCCTGAATGTTAATAAAATAGTAACGGTGAGTGTTGTGACCCTGTTTCATACAGGTTCTGTTCTACAGCCAGGGCTCGGCCTCAACGTCTCACAAACATAGAGGTAGGTATGATGTCGTCAACCCGCTTCTTGGTACGTGCAGTGAAACACTACAACTAAAAGTCCATTTATCGTGTAAATCAATGCTGGATATGCTCTCTATAAAGTTCACTATATCTTATATTGGCATTATGTTGTAACATTGGCACTCTACATATCCCAGCTATTTTACTCATATGTATTCCGTACTCTTCCAGAACTTCAATTTTTTACTTCATTTATCAGTGCCCGTATCAATAAAACTATCTATAAAATCAAGGAGTTCGTGAGTTTTTAGTTTTAAGCCGCTTTTAGCAATATTCCAGTAATATCACTGCGAGGGAAGCCAGAAATGGGCTTCACACATTGTACCCATGTGGGGAATCGAACCCGGGTCTTCGGCGTGAACACCTTAACCACTATAAAATCAATGCCTACCATTAACATATGAAACTGCACAACAGTGATAGTTGTAGCCGTAGTTGTCGTTGTCGTTGTGGTAGTAGTAGATGGAATAGTAGCGCAATTGTATACCAACAGGAGCAGCAGTATTTTGGAGGGGCGGTGGGGCGTACAATGTGTGAAGCCCATTTCTGCTGTCCCCCGCAGTGTAATTGCCGGAGTATTGGTAAAGGCGGCGTAAAACTATACTCACTCAATCACCCGGCATTTTGGTTAACAATAAATCATACACACACTATTCCAGGCCGGGCCGCTCGTGTCGGGCACCGCAGTCAGGGGAAGGGCCGACATCGACGTCATCATCTTCCTCAACGGCTACAGCGGCGTCAGGGATCTCAGTAGAGACATCAGCAACGTGCTACGACATCTGAAGACCTTTATTGAAACAGACGTCACTTGGGCCAAGAGCCTTGTGTTTAAGGCGATGACACCACAATCTGTACAGTTTCTTCTCAACGTGGGCGACTGCGACTTCGAGCATACAGTCGACCTACTCCCGGCAGTGGATATCTCGAAAACAAGTACATGTAGCTTTGTTGTAGTCGAGGTATTACTGGGATGTCACATTATAGCTGAATCTAATGTACCGGAGGTTGAAATACTGTCGACCACGTGCACAAACTCAGAAAAGGGTCTTTAACACAAGCGGACAGTCTTGACCGGTTGTTATATTCCACTGCCATCTCGATTCGTACTGGCCGTCCTTATCATACACAATGAATACACCTATGAATACACAATGCCATTTTGAAAGTATGTTACATGTTATATTTGGGATTACACTTTCTGATTCAAACCCACACCCTCAGAGTCAGGCACCTAATCGCCAGTACACACAGTCAGCCGCCTAACCCGCTCAGCCACCGGGGAAGTCAGTACTTTTCTAAGAAAGTGTAATTCCAAATATAACAAATGTTACTTATCAAGATCTCTTATACACCCTGCTACGAGTCTACCATAAGGTATCACTAGCACATACCCCGTTTGTTACAGTGTCGCAGAGCGCCATCTACGAGGAGATGAAGGATCAGGCAGACATTCGGAGGTTCTACAGCGTCAGTCTCGCCGCCTTCAATTTCCGCTTCCTCCAACAGGTGCCCGCCAAAGTCAAAGATCTCATCAGACTCGTCAAATACTGGCAAAGGGTGAGGTGACTTCTAAACATTCACCCAACCCGGACTCATTCATTGAACTCGTACGTTGGAGGCGGGATTTTGTAGAAATGGCATATTCGGGTTGACATTGAAAAGCATAAAAAAAATTTGATTAAAACTGGTTAATCCCGATTCGGGAGTTTATGGTTAGATTTCATAGTCTTTGGTTTCGTGAAACCTGGTTGGGCGATAAGAACTCACTCCTCGGTCACTACTTGAACATAGGGTAAGTTCGTGCATGATGTGCCTTTTTTTGACCAATCAACATCCAGTTGTCACCAATATGGTTGGGTTCCACTTCGTCTGTCGGTTCCCTCTTGTTCAGGTACGTGGGTCAATGAGCATGCAGCACTAGTATTGGGTAGCTGGTACCAACTCCTCGACTGACTGACTGAGTTTGGTTTTACGCCGCTTTTAGCAATATTCCAGCAACATCACGGCGGGGGACACCAGAAATGGGCACCAACTCCTCGACCCCAAAGGTTTAGGGGTGCCTAGATGACTGTTTACGTTGTAATTGAACAGGTGGAGGACGTGCCTATTGGGAGCTGTTTCATCGAGACACTGGTGGTTGCAGTCTGGCGGGAAGACCACAAGCCTCAAAACTTTGATATGAACAAGTACCTACGACAGGTGATGCAGCGTTTGTCACAGATCAAGACTCTCGCCGTCGTCATCGAAGACAACTACAACCACCGTTTGTACAGAAACGACCTGTACGTTAGTGAAAACGTTTCCAGATTTTTCATCACATATCTTTAACTTATATTAAATGTTTTGCATTCGACATACATTAATGTGTGTGTGTGTGTGTGTGGACGTGTGTGTGTGTGTGTGTGTGTGTGTGTGTGTGTGTGTGTGTGTGTGTGTGTGTGTGTGTGTGTGTGTGTGTGTGTGTGTGTGTGTGTGTGTGTGTGTGTGTGTGTGGGTGTACTGGGTATAATAGATACACAAAGTCACTGATCTAAACATCTCTGGTCTGTCACTGTGTCCGTACTTTGCTCAGTGGAGTTGTAAGGGAATGAGTTACAGACATAAATAGTTTTGTGTTTCTGCAGGAAGGCCCCATACCTGCTCGACCCGTGTAACCCCTACAAGAACACGGCGCCCTCTATCGGCGACATTCACATTGTGAAGAAGAAGGCGGACGCCCTCCTCGGAAGCCTTGCATGAGACAGAAGCTGATACAACCAGACCAGCAGATTAAACGCCGGGTCGATTCAAGGACAGTTTATGGACCAGTGTTATCCATATATTGATTGACTGATTCGGTAGCTGAGTGAAAATATCGGAATTTCTCATATAAGCTCCGTATATAACTAGCTGAACTTCTGCAACACATCACTCGGTCGAAATCAATGGGTCCATTTAACAATATCGAGTTATCGGGCTTTCAAGCCAAGCCTGTGCTCATTTTGTTTTTTACATGTTGAACGGATTAAACAAACAGCATAACATAATACTAATATGTCGTGCTGACTTAACAGTGTTCCGTATAAATATTGATACCATGTGAGATATGTAAGGACGGACTCCAATTTGGCTGTATATTATACCGATCACATCAATACAAAAGGGTCTGCAATCCGCTATGACAAGTCAACAACTGTCATACGGCTGGTTGTGTGAGTGAGTGCATTTGTTTTATGCCGCTCTCAACAGCACTTTCAGAAGAAATTCCTTTCATCGTTTAAGTTTAAGACCTTGCCATTTTGGGGAACCCACAATTGCGGCTATGGTGCTGGAATATTAGAGCGAATATCGAATAAGCACTAAGAAACGGCAGAGCGTGTCCAACTAACACAACTCCCAACATGGTGATTAGACTCCCCTGCCACAAATGATGATCAAGGAACTGGGTGACGACCCATGGTTCCTGCCAGTATAACAGCAGGTAGGGCACCTTCGACGCTGACGCAATGTGACGCAAAGTGACGGTCTTCATATGATCCGAGTCAACACTTACGTCATATTATATGTGTATTAAAAATGAATGTTATATTATGCTGCCGTATTCAGGTACTGTAATAAATGTATATGGAAGTGTGACGTGTTGCTTTATGGACAGTTCCTCCGTCTTAATAAAGGTTTGGTTGTAATGTATATACCATACATGTGTGTGTGGATACACTGAAGATGAAATAGTCCAATCACGTTAACACTAATGCATCCCGTCACCCGGAACGAGAATGCAACAAACATATTTTGTGTTTACTGAACATTCCTGACAGTACACGACAGTAAGGACGTAAATGTTGTCTCTGGGATTACACTTTCATATTCTAGTACTTTTGTTGGTTAAGCCCCATCCGAGATTCGAACCCACATTCCCTAAGTGGGGAACCTAATGACCAGTATACAACGTCATCCATCTAACCCACTCAGACACTACAAACAGATGTATGACAAATGGTAGTGCAGGGGCGGATACAGCTTTTTGAGAAAGGGGGGGTGCACACTATTGAGAAAAGGGACTCTTTGTTCGTGGTCATTTAATAAACTTTCAGGACAAAAGGGGGGGTGCGCACCCCTGCACCCCTCCTCTGAATCCGCCTATGTAGTGTAGATCACGTACTCTGTGTTCGTGCATGTGTGTGCGACTGACAATTGCACATCCTTACTGTCACTTACTTTCACGTTCGAACATATGTAGTTACGTATGCACTTTATATGCAAATACATGTTTTTGCTACATACAGTATCACAGTCTGCTGAGGTCAGGTTCAAAACAGCAGCCAAAGTGTGATATGCATACTTTGTGTATGGGAAGCAGGTCAAAACAACCACATGTTCATGTAACAGCCAAAACAATGTACATCTATATATGCAAACATTGTATCTATTTCATAACTGAAACTGGCCGTGATAGTGATGGAATAGTCTGTCTCACAGTCCCTGAACCATGTTATTTCCCCTACAGCCTAGCCCTCCCTAAATTGCTAAAGCCCTAAATGAAGCAAGTCTAGATTTCTCCAGGTTCAGATCTCCCTGGGGCTCCTTTTCAATCTAAATGGGTTTCTTTGTAACAATCATAATTATATATATTCAGGGACTAAGCGTTAGTCTAGTGAAAACATGTAAACATGTATTGGATTCACTAAGCAGTTACTGGAAAATACGCAGCGAAAAATACAAGTGACTTGACATTGAGAAATACGACTTGCCACAGATTCGGTGGAAACGAGCCAATGTACATACGACTTGACTCGTATTCTTCAACTGCTATAATGTACAGAAATATGATTGTGCATTTGAAGCAGACTGTTGTTAGAATGTCGCTTAATATTGTTACATTAAACATATTCGTCATCTCTGGATTCTGTTAGACTGTAGCACGGTATGCACGATACACACGTTATGAACACGCCCAACTGTGCACGAGACAGCATATTGGAGGGGTACAAAACACACGAAAATATTTTGCTGCATCTATTTTACCAGATGTTTTCAACCATGTCAGGCAAATGGGATCTTTTAGGCGATGTCTTTGTCACTCAAAATACATTTTCCGAAGCTACAACTTTGAATGTGAGTGACATTAATTCAGATTTTGAGGAACTTTTGAATGGAAGTATTTCGAGTGTCAGTTTTGATATCACTCTGCAAGGGGACAAAAATCATGTAGATACAGTTGGGAATAGTACTTCGGATGAGGAATTGCTGCGTGAGTCGCAAAACCTGGAACAGGAATTTGACCAAATGAATAGTTCAGCAGATGATGAACTGATGCTTGCTGCTCAGCAGATAGAAAAAGAAAATGATCAAACAGCTACCAAACGTTTTGGCAAACCCCTCTCAGTTTCTGAATATCAAAACTTGGAAAATCTTGCAAAAAATATACATACAGAAAAGAAAAGCCAGTGGGCAGTGCGGATTTTCGATACATGGCAACGTGAAAGGGATGGGTAACAAATTATTAAGTCTTTCTGATGAGGATCTGAATAGAACGCTGAGTCTATTTGTCACAGAAGTAAGGAACCAAAGGGGAGGTCAATACAACGGTAACACAATTCATGCGATTCTTATTTCGATGCAGAGATTCATGCGCCAAAGTGGTCGAGATGTTAACCTAACCACCGATTTTGCTTTTATGGGTTTGAGAACCATTCTTGATGCTAAAATGAAATCACTGGCCCAGGCTGGTATTGGCATGCATAGAAGGCGAGCTAACGTCATCACATCACAGGAGGAGGATGCATTGTGGGAGAGGGGTTTGCTTGGGGATGACACCCCGGAGAAATTGCTTGAAACCGTTTTTTATTTGAATGGGATAAACTTTTGTTTACGAGGTGGGGAGGAACATCGTGCTCTAACAGTAGGTGAATTTTCAAACTTCTGTGTTGTTACAAGAAACAACAAAAACAATTGGTATACTCTGAAGGGGTTTCCAAAACGAATTCAGGAGGGCTGAAACATAAAAGATTGTCTGCTAAGGTTATTTCAGTGGATATTAATGAAGAGAACCCTGCCCATTGTCCAGTTAGACTTCACCAAAAGTACATGTCATTGAGGTGAGTAAATAATTTAGTGATTACTGAAAATCTTAAAATTGAAAAAAATGTGAAATTCTTATCGTTTTTTAAAAAAATAGCTTTTTATACAAAAAAACCCCATGGAGACGGCTACAGTGAAGCTTGTATGCAATGTATATACCACTTGATTGCAGGCCAGTGGGTTGTGATGACTTTTACCTTCGTCCTCAAGTACCCTAAGCCTAACCAGTGGTACTCTGCCGCTCCTAGTAGGGAGACACGTTCTGTCTGGGGTGGTCAAGAGGCTCTGCGCCAGGGCCGGGTTTGAAGGATTTTATACAAACCACTCCCTAAGGGCTACAACGGCCACACGCCTGTATGAGAGCGGTTTGGATGAGCAGCTGATTGCCGAAAGGGCAGGTCTCAGATCGACAGCTATTCGTGCGTAAGTATAGGTGTAATTGTATTTGAAATAATCACATACTGAACAACAGGTTGATTTGATGACAAATGGGCACTGGTACAATGGGACATATGTGCACTGTATTTAATGATTATTAATCACGTCTAAGTGCGATGAGGTAGCCTAGTGGTTATAGTGCCTGCGGTGCGGGTTCGATTCCCCCCACAGGCACAATGTGTAAAGCCCATGCTTTGTGTCCCCCGCCGTCATACTGCTGGAATATTTGATAAAGGATGTGTAAAGCCAAACTCACTCGCTAACAATCACTTGTAAAATGTATATCAAAATATTAGTGAGGGAGTAACATGTACTGAATAATTATGTTCTATATACAATACAGGTACAAGAGAACAAGCGAGGGCATGTTAAAGAGTGTTGATGATGTTGTCCAGAGGAAAACACCAGCAACTGCCACATCAGCGACTAGCTCGCCAACACCTCACGTCTCCGACACCACTGACCCCAAGACGTCAAGACGCCAACTAGCTCGCCAACACCTCACTCTCCGACACCACTGACCCCAAGAGACGTCAAGACGACAACTGTTCAAATGCTAAAACTGTACACTTCGTTGTTGAAAGGGACGGTGCAAGAGTGACATTTGACATGTAATAAAGGGATGAAAACATTGTGAGGTTTCGCTTCTATATTTTGGTAATGGCTGACTGACTGAGTTTAGTTTTACGCCGCTTTTAGCAATATCCCAGCAATATCACGGCGGGGGACACCAGAAATGGGCTTCACACAATGTACCCATGTGGGGAATCGAACCCGGGTCTTCGGTGTGACGAGCGGACGCTTTAACCACTAGGCTACCCCACCTCCCCATTTCTGTAATGTGGGTATTACTGTTTGAATTCAGCGTTTGGACCGGGTCGGTAATAGGGCGCCAATATTTGAAAGTAGGGCGCCAATACACCAGATAAAGTCGCCAATATACGAAGCTAAGTCGCTAATAAACGAAAGATACGGGCTTCTCATCCAATGCTTATTGGAGTGATATGTTGTGTAATGGAGGCAATTTTAGGTTTAAGTACAAATTGAGCAGAGAATCAAGCATACAATGTATAAATATACGCAGATGTTCTTAAATGGTAATACCGTCAATGTATATAATTTTCTCATTGAAAGGCTTTGACTTCATCACAAAATACCCAGCGTTTTCTCAATGAAGCAAACGCCACTTAAATCACATTATTTTGGTGGAAACATGAGGATCCTGTACTTGAAGGTTTTGTATTTCTTCATGCAGGGCTGAGGAAATGTGTACATACAGATAGGGTGTTTATATTGAGTCGACATTCTTTCAATCGACTACTTTTAGAGTTATCTGCCCCTGATACCGGAAGTTGAGAAGCGATTGTGAAAACATGAACACGTGTTTGTTAAAACTTCAGATTTGCACTGTTTGGGACTGACGAAGTGAAATTCGCTTCCAGTGAAAAAGAACATTAGATATGCCAAAAGTAAAGCAAGACAAGAAAAGTCGCCAGCACCAACAAATTCAAAAAACAAGGTGAGAAGATGTAAACTTAGGTTCAGGAATCGGGCCCCAGGAATCTTGAGTTACATACAGCCCCTACTTACCTGCTCACATTGACGAGGTATGCTTCTCGGGGTAGTCCTGACAACTAGAGAACCTTCACTTATCAGTTTGTTATTTTCAGCTGATAGTCAGTGACGATAATATGGCATTGTTTTCAAAAAACATATCAATGATCTCTCTTTTCGTGACAGTCAAAACAATATATGCTGACTGTCAATGTAACTTCAAGGGAATCAGTGGGTTTATTATGAGTTGACTTCAATGTAATTGCTACGTTTTCAGTGCTATAAACATGTGACATTTGCGTAAATACGCTGCACAAACAATGTATATATGTTATTATTATGATTATGTCAACAATACATTGGGAGACTCCTTATTTTATCGTAAAAGATTCGTAGACAATAATCTGATAATATGAAATCAGCAATGTTCCCCATGGCAATAATGCAACACATTCCCCTCCCATTCATTATATGTGGGAAAAAACCATTGACCAATCAAATGCCATGGAATCACCTATATGTAACATAATCATGACTATATAATGATCATGATGATTAGACATGTTTTGTGAATCATACGTCCATTTGGGGGGGCGGTGGGGTAGCCTAATGTTTAAAGCGTTGGCTCGTCACGCCGAAGACCCGGGTTCGAATCCCCACATGGGCACAATGTGTGAAGCCAATTTCTGGTGTCCCCCGCCGTGATGTTGCTGGAATATTGCTAAAAGCGGCGTAAAACCAAACTCAGTCAGTCAGTCAGTTCATTTGGGTTTTGCTGTTGACGCCACTGTATTTATGTTTATGGCCTGTGCCCAACAAACTAGTCATTCACATGAGAAACATCCCATGTCATCTGGATACAATGATGAACCATCAACCAATTCATGCAGGGTGACACCCAAATCCATCTGGGAAATTTGGATGACCAGCATAGGACACATGTTCCAGCTGGAATAACTGCAGGGGTTGTTATCAACATGATATTGGACATATTCTGGATCATACTGTGGAAAACACATTGCAAAAAACCAGTTACCACAAAGCGCCCTCTAAGCAATAAGCTTGTTATATACAGTATTGGAACTGAAACATATATAAACAGACTGAGGGTATGAATACTATGATGAATCTCCTGGTTACACTATGGTTGCAGGCATCACCTTCAAGCATGACTTCGGCCAGCATATCCTCAAGAACCCTCTGGTTGTGGTCAGTATGGTGGAAAAGGTGAGTCCAGTGACTACGTCCCATTAAACATGAAACATAAAGTAAAACATAAGTCTTGGTCTCAATACTGTTAACAACGCTAAATGGGCACTGGCCTGATGGTTGAAACTGCACAGTGCATCTAACACTGGGAACATTTCAATCCCAGCGACCCTATTTGATCATTTCCAGAGGTGATTTCAAGTGTAAATTTTTTGTTTCCGCTATTTCAGTTTTTCAAATCTAATATTTGTGAATCAGTTCTGATAAAGTATGTTCTAAACTACTTAAATCTTAATGTTGCTGTGTTAAGTTTACTTGTCCCTTAACCTGTTAACAATATTATAAAAACAGACATGAGGATGTATGAATCTAAAGAAAACATACAAACAACTGAGTGAATAATTTACACGTTTGTTCACTGGAAGAAAGTGGGTGCCGGCTGATCTTTAAAGTCGTTGTGATGTTGCAGGCTGCACTGCGTCCAACTGATGTGGTGCTGGAAGTTGGACCCGGTACAGGCAACATGACAGTCAAGCTGCTGGAGAAGGTTAAGAAGGTCAGTGGTCAATCACTCCAAATGTCTTCTGTTTGGTTAAAATATATGTACTATACTGGACCAGCACAGACTTTGTAAACAAAGGAAACATAGCAGCTATGAAAACACAGTGAGCAGACGCGGATTATATATGAGTAAATATCTGGGCACTGGCGTGTGCTTCTAATAGCTGCTACACATCACAAAATAGAAACAGAGTTTCTTGGTTCCTGGTAGGAGTTACAATGGTGCATGGTACATAACATTGCCACATGTTTCAGGTGGTTTCTTAACACTGTCATATTTCAGGTGGTAGATAACAATGTCACACATTTCAGGAAGTAGATAACAGTGTCACATGTTTCAAGCAGTACATGACAGTGTCACATGTTTCAGGCAGTACATGACAGTGTCACATGTTTCAAGCAGTACATGACAGTGTCACATGTTTCAGGCAGTACATGACAGTGTCACATGTTTCAAGCAGTACATGACAGTGTCACATGTTTCAGGCAGTACATGACAGTGTCACATGTTTCAGGCAGTACATGACAGTGTCACATGTTTCAAGCAGTACATGACAGTGTCACATGTTTCAGGCAGTACATGACAGTGTCACATGTTTCAAGCAGTACATGACAGTGTCACATGTTTCAGGTGGTGGCTTGTGAGATTGACCCCCGTTTGGTGGCAGAGCTGCACAAGAGAGTTCAGGGAACGTGAGTGCTCCGACTCTGGGATTAAGGATCTTATGTTTATGAAATTGTTCCAGACTGTGAATGAACATATTAGAGTAGACAAGAGGTCAGATACGGAAAAAAAATCAAATAAATGAAAGCATATTGTTTTGAATGCTGTTCTTTTTATGTAGTCATGTATGTGTTTTACAGAACAGAAGTGAATGCCATGTTATTTTCCATGTCAGACCCCAGGCCAGCAAGCTGCAGGTGATGGTGGGAGATGTCCTCAAGACAGAGCTTCCATTTTTTGACATCTGCGTGGCCAATCTCCCATATCAGGTAGGGAGACCATCAACATTATTGAGGAGATTCCAGTTTGTGTACAGTTTTTGCTGTTCTATAGCAACAAGGAATCATGGGAGTTTTCTCAATAAGCTGTAGTGATAATGGTACTGTGTGGTGGTACTGTAGTGATTATGGTACTGTGTGGTGGTACTGTAGTGATTATGGTACTGTGTGGTGGTACTGTAGTGATTATGGTACTGTGTGGTGGTACTGTAGTGATTATGGTACTGTGTGGTGGTACTGCAGTGATAATGGTACTGTGTGGTGGTACTGTAGTGATTATGGTACTGTGTGGTGATACTGTAGTGATTATGGTACTGTAGTGATTGTGGTACTGTAGTGATTATGGTACTGTGTGGTGGTACTGCAGGGATTATGGTACTGTGTAGTTGTACTGTAGGGATTATTGTACTGTGTGGTGGTACTGTAGGGATTATGGTACTGTGTGGTGGTACTGTAGTGATTATGGTACTGTGTGGTGGTACTGTAGTGATTATGGTACTGTGTGGTGGTACTGTAGTGATTATGGTACTGTGTGGTGGTACTGTAGTGATTATGGTACTGTGTGGTGGTACTGTAGTGATTATGGTGCTGTGTGGTGGTACTGTAGTGATTATGGTACTGTTTAGTGGTACTGTAGTGATTATGGTACTGTGTGGTGGTACTGTAGTGATTATGGTACTGTGTGGTGGTACTGTAGTGATTATGGTACTGTGTGGTGGTACTGCAATGATAATGGTACTGTGTGGTGGTACTGTAGTGATAATGGTACTGTGGTGGTACTGTAGTGATTATGGTACTGTGTAGTGGTACTGTAGTGATTATGGTACTGTGTGGTGGTACTGTAGTGATTATGGTGCTGTGTGGTGGTACTGTAGTGATTATGGTACTGTGTGGTGGTACTGTAGTGATTATGGTACTGTGTGGTGGTACTGTAGTGATTGTAAAGATTTGTAGATAAAACACGTGTGGAGAATACAATCATCACTCATTACAGGTGAGGTGAAATTGGGTTTTTAACGTCGTGCTTGAGAATATTTCGCTCATATGACGATGTGCGTGCATGTGTATGATTATGTGCGGCTGCTTGTACTAGCCCAGACTGAAGCTGGTTTTATAGTGCTAGCCCACTGAGATACCATGCCGCAGTGAAGCATGAATACCCCACTCAGACACATTATACTGACTCCGAGCCGACCAGTCCTTGTTGTACCCATTAATGCAGAGCGCCAGGCAGGGACCAACAAGTACCATATTTTAATGTCTTTTGGTATGACGCGGTCGGGGATCGAACCCGCGACCCTCCGCTCTCCGGCCGGATCACACATTACATACAAAAAATATATAGTTAAGTGAAATATTCTAGATTTTCTTTTTTCCAGATTTCATCTCCCTTTGTCTTCAAACTACTTCTACACAGACCCTTCTTCAGGTGAGTTTGTTAGTAGGATTAAATGTCATCTTTTGATTGCATGACATGAGCAATGAAATCACAGCTGATATAGTAAGACTTGAGTCTGTGGGGTAGTTTTTCATGGCAACCCATGTGTACAACTAGGGTACAAGGATGGAGAACTACATGTTAAGTTTGTTTGTTTGTGATCAGACCTCTACACTGAACAAGACCACCTATGCCGTCTGCTCAATGTGCACCCCTACATCAGTAATGGGTTGCACTCCGATGCTATCGCTGCTGAATACGGGAATGACAGTCCACTACTATGAGTACTTATATTGGACAAAAGCACATTTTCCTTTAGTGAAATTCAGGCCCGTTTGCTGAAATTATTTATTTAATACCCATGTAAACTTAGGATAGTAATACAGGGGTGCAATACAGATGACGTGGTCAAATTCCGTATTGCACCCCAGATTCCGTATTGCACCCCAGATTCCGTATTGAACCCCAGATTCCGTATTGAACCCTTGAACCCTTGCGGTTCTACTGATTTCTTTTATTAAGTAACAGATTAATGCAAGATAAGAGGGTATATAATGAATATAGAACGTCATACTAGTGCATTTGGATTTTTTGTATTGAACGAGAAGATATCATGGGAGCAGAGAAACAACTCGTTCTTCGAACTTGTTGCATGTTTCTCTGCTCCCATGACATCTTCTCGTTCAATACAAAACATCCAAATGCACTAGTATGACGTTCAATATATGTATCACCACAATACCTTTTGCTGTTCCAGATGTGCCGTTCTGATGTTTCAGAGAGAGTTTGCTCAGAGATTGGTTGCAAAGCCAGGGGACAAACTCTACTGTCGACTGTCGGTGAACACACAGCTTCTGGCTCGGGTTGATAACCTGATGAAGGTGTGTAGATTTGGGGATTGAGTTTTCACACTGTCGACTGTCGGTGAACACACAGCTTCTGGCTCGGGTTGATAACCTGATGAAGGTGTGTAGATTTGGGGATTGAGGTCTCACACTGTCGACTGTCGGTGAACACACAGCTTCTGGCTTGGGTTGATAACCTGATGAAGGTGTGTAGATTTGGGGATTGAGGTCTCACACTGTCGACTGTCGGTGAACACACAGCTTCTGGCTCGGGTTGATAACCTGATGAAGGTGTGTAGATTTGGGGATTGAGGTCTCACACTGTCGACTGTCGGTGAACACACAGCTTCTGGCTTGGGTTGATAACCTGATGAAGGTGTGTAGATTTGGGGATTGAGGTCTCACACTGTCGACTGTCGGTGAACACACACCTTCTGGCTCGATTGATAACCTGATGAAGGTGTGTAGATTTGGGGATTGAGGTCTCACACTGTCGACTGTCGGTGAACACACAGCTTCTGGCTCGGGTTAATAACCTGATGAAGGTGTGTAGATTTGGGGATTGAGGTCTCACACTGTCGACTGTCGGTGAACTCACAGCTTCTGACAACCAGATGAAGGTGTGAAATCTGGAGGTTTGAGAGCTCATACTGTCGACTTGAGCACAAAAGTTGTATTGCCATTGAAGTTTGAATACATTCAGCCTCAAAAAGTGATTGTTTTTCAGGTTGGCAAGAACAATTTTCGACCGCCCCCCAAAGTTGAGTCCAGTGTCGTCAGGATAGAACCCCGGAATCCTCCACCACCAATAAACTTCAAGGTACACCTTGCTTCTTGATTACCACCTGTTAAGATTATATATCATCTCCCCCTGGAGCAATGCACTACACAGCATAGTAGAGTAGTTTGCAGTCAGTGAAGCCATGTTCTACACAATGTGGTCGAGGACTGTACAGTGGCTATAGCATTGTACCTGACAGTAGGATTATAGCTCAGTGGTAGCCTGTGTGATGAGCCTGCAGATCGCTGGTGGCAAGTTGTATGGAAGAATGAACCCACCTTCACTGCCTGTGCTGTTGTTTCAGGAGTGGGATGGTCTGGTGAGAATCTGCTTTGCAAGGAAAAACAAAACCATTGGTGCTGCCTTCAAGTGAGTACTTGAAGTATGAAGTATTTAGAATATCTTTAGGTTTCATTTACAACAGGTTTCTTCAGAATTCAGGTTTTACCATCACTTTTCTATATGATGTTAGCGTAACCTTTACACTGTCTACCTGAGGTTGTAGAAACATTTCTGTATGTTAGCGTAACCTTTACACTGTCTACCTGAGGTTGTAGAAACGGTTCTGTATGATGTTAGCGTAACCTTTACACTGTCTACCTGAGGTTGTAGAAACGGTTCTGTATGATGTTAGCGTAACCTTTACACTGTCTACCTGAGGTTGTAGAAACGGTTCTGTATGATGTTAGCGTAACCTTTACACTGTCTACCTGAGGTTGTAGAAACGGTTCTTGTAGAAACATTTCTGTATGTTAAGTGTAACCTTTACACTGTCTACCTGAGGTTGTAGAAACGGTTAATACTACGTACCTTTACACTGTCTACCTGAGGTTATACTACACATTCTGAACATGGGACGCTTGTGTGGTTGGTTCTGGTCTCCTCAGCTTCTCTATGATCTCCGACTGCTGAAGTATGACTGCTATTACCATGATGGTTTTATTGTACAAATCTTACATTTCAGATACACCAAAGTATTGAATCTGATGGAGAAAAACTACAAGATTCACTGTTCTGTCAATAATATAGTAAGTACCGGCTTGTGGTTGCACTGCTCACATTTTTACAGCTGAAATTTGTGTTAGACATATGTATTGTGATACATACTAATAGGGGCGGTGGGGTAGCCTAGTGGTTAAAGCGTCCGCTTGTCACACGGAAGACCAAGGTTTGATTCCCCACATGGGTACAATGTGTGAAACCTGTTTCTGGTGTTCCCCACCGTCATATATTGCTGGAATATTGCAAAAGCAGCGTTAAACCGTACTCTCTCACATATTAATGTGTCATCAAAGTAGTCAGTGTTGGTGACTTGTTCACATTTATTTCCAGACAATACCAGCTGATTTTGACATCAAGGAAAAAGTAGTGAAGATTCTTGAAGAAAATAGCTTCGACAAGATGCGAGCCCGCAGTATGGATATTGATGACTTCCTGGCGTACGTACCTTATCTTCCTTGAGATCTCCTCCATCCATACTGCACATGCAGTCTCTCAGCCTCATTAATGTAATCTCCACCTTAATACTTGTCAAGTCTGAAGTTACTTTGAGTTAGTCCTGGTTGTTTTCTCAGTAGGAAGCTCTTTAAATAGCATTTTGAAGTGGTAAGAACAAGGAGGTATTTCCATGAATATACAGGTTCTATATTACAGTGAGTGGCATTTCGGTGAACAATTGTTTGATACAACAAAATGAGGCACTCCTTTGATTTGAATATCCATAGTTATTTCCCTTGTACTCTACAGGGCGCTGAGAATGTTCCTTACACTTTGCTCCAATGACCTGGGAAATAGCTATGTAGCACACACCAGTATGTTTCAGGGCCTCAATACAGCTCAGTTTTCGTGTACATTTATTATTCAAATGATTAATTAGTCATTTATATCTTCCTTCCAGGCTATTAAACAGTTTCAACAAGGATGGCTTCCATTTTTCATGATGTGAGATGTGGTTCCAATATTGTCTTATGCAAGATGAACCACAGGAATAGCGTCGGAATATTACTGACTGCGGCATTAAACAACAAACAAATTCTTGTGAGAGGTGGTTCTGTGAAGCAGTGTGAACACTGTTGGTGAACAGTGAACCTTCATTTGTTTGTTTCAGTGAACACTGGACACACTATAACGAAAAGCATGAATGCCTGATATTAGCTGGGAGAATTCTTCAGTTCTTGCTGTGAAGCCTGTGTCCAGGAATCTCAGACCCTGAATATTGTGAAATGCTTTTGATTGTCGACAATGGTGGTAGTGAGTGTGACCAGATTATGATGTATTCCATTACTGTGAAATCCTAGTGTCTATGAGTGGACTGTATCAGGAGCTTGTATACTGGATGGTGATGTAATGGATGCACTGTAAGGAAGACACAAAGCCGGTACATGGATTCTATAAACACTTGTTTATTTGGTCAGTGCCAGAAAATAAATATGTATGTACATTTGGGTGTTTTCTGTCGAGACCGATGTGGTGTAGCATGGTGGTTCAACACACCCATCTTACAGACACGTGTTTCCCCCGACACCGACGTCAAACATTAACGCCCAGTCTCACACACAGCCAGCCTCAGTCACACGCTCAGTTTCTCTCCAGCTAGCTCCAACTATATACAGGTGTGTGGTTCTATGATGACAAGTACACATGTCCCATCATGCAACTCTGTCTGATGACCTGCCCAAGCGGCAATCAATTGGTGTACCATCACCAGTTCCTAGAACATGATCGAAACTTCCGTAATTATGCTCCAAATTTAAATATTAATATCGAACAATTTGTGCCACCAAATCATAACCATTCACAGTTTCAGAGCATGATCATGGTTTCGAAGTATGCTTGGAGTTTGTTGAATACGATTCCAGGTTTTGCAATGAATATTTTCCGTTCACTGTAAGCATGGCTGTTGAGTAAGATTCCCTTAGGAACAGGAGATGGTATAAAAGGAAGGTCCCATTGCCATCATGTCTGTTGAACAGACAACAGGTATAACCTTGGTGTTATAACAAGAATTCCTAGACTATACATAAAGGATACATAAAAACATCCTGGTCAACAAATACTCACATTAACTAATCCTATATTGCATCATTTCACCTATCAGAGCTCCGCTCTGGGGGAGGGTTGTTAGTACAACAATGTAACAACTGATAAACTGATCATTTCAGGTAATACTTTATCTTATTTCTCAGTTCACTGATCATGCTGATGGTCTGACAAACAAAACTAATTTTTCAGGAAAATTATAGGTTCAAATGCACAGTCATCTGAAAAAAAGCTCCCCTGCTACTGAAACATCTGCTTATTAACAATTGATTATTCATATTTTTACCTCCTCAAACAAATCCATTCACCACAAAAACCATGATGGCCTTATGCAGAACAGAACAAATGTATCTGAAAATGTTTTAACAATGTTTCACTGAATGACATGTGCTCATTAGTGTTGTAACGATATGGTGAAAAGGAAGGTAGTTGCATACTACCATAGCATCAGGGAAATCATACAACACACACACCATCTGGTCATGGGAATATACATGTCAATACATTCCCAATATATTGTAGGGAATACATGCCGTATTGCATCCCCACTATACGATGGGGAATACCTAGCATATTGATGGGAGAATACACTATATTGCCTGCCCAGTGTATAAAGGGAGTACATATGGTACTGTTCTACCTGCAGCCACCATATCGCTACACCGCTAATGGACCAGCACAATGCCTACATGTCTGTGTAACTGAGGTCAACAATAACAGTCAGTGATGACTTGCTGCTGGCTTCAGCTACCATTAATTCATCCCTGAATGATTAAAGGACTTAACAGTGTGCCCCCAGTAAAAGGCATGATGAGCGTATTGATAGTTCTGAGAGGACATGTATGCACAAAACTCAAAGCTGTCGTATCTTCTAGAGATAACTGTACTGCTCCTCAAATATGTCCTCATCCCAGCAAATTAGTTTCACTGTTACGTGTTGCCAATCCTAAAATCAACTACCATTAAACAGCACTCCACACAAATAACAGTGAGTGAGTTTGGTTTTACGCCACTTTTAGCAATATCACGGCGGGGTACACCAGAAATGGGCTTCACACATTGTACCCGTGTGGGGAATCGAACCCTAGCCTTCAGTGTGACAAGCGAACGCTTTAACCACTAGACCACCCCACCACCCCAACAAATAACAGAATACCCATAAATGGAAGGCTGTGTTGGAAAATCACCTGCCATGAAAGATTAAGTTTGTTTAACTTTTTTTGAGTAGTATTTTTAACCTGAAACATCATTGACCCATTGAATGCCAAGTTGTGGTGGGACTTGACACAACCTGATGTCAGTGAGGGAGTCAACAAGTGATGTCAGATATTACTGTAGAACATATCATGAAAACAAGTTGAGCTTAATTTATACACCTTAAATTCAACAGTAACATGTGTATACTGATACGACACACTGACCTTACCAAAACAAAAGTACTCATCATCTCCCTTTGAGAAACAACTTCCGCTCCTCTATGTACATGACTCCAGCCTATAATACTGGTACATAAAGCAGCTTGTACAGGAACACAAAGTATGGCTCACTCACAGGAAGATGAAGTTCTAATTCAAGAACAATTGCACACAATATATTACTACACACTGAAATATATTCCATCCCAAAGATGGAATGACTCTATGAATTTGACACATTTCCTCATGTTACTAACTTTAGTGGATTATGGGAGTAGCCAGCGTTTTGTCCCTAAAACATTTTCCTCGCCAAAGAACAAACAGCACATTACTTGTTGACCATCACAAAGTTCAATGATAAGTCTGACACTGACAGGGCCAAATCCATGTAGAGCATCACTGCCAGGACTAGAGTGTTGGCTACCCACTGCAGCATGGCAACTGGCCCTCATAAACATCAACTACTCCAAAGTAAATGTATCGTATTTCTGATCTTACAAAACATAATGGATTGTCTGAAGGAAGTGGACAAGAAGTGAAGCTGGTAAAATAAAGGTGACTGAAGCCTGCTACAAGACCTGGTGCAGTGGGTTTATGTGAGTGTCTAATGCTGTCTTCTTAGCAGCATCCTAGACCTGATGATCCATGGGTGTTATATGGGGGACAGCCATGTCTAGGTCCTGATTTAGAGGTAGTCCAGTACAAGAACTGTAGTGGGTGAAGGACAGGATAATCGATTTGGTTGAGACCATAAACACACAGAAAACAAAACCTTTTCGAGATGAGTTGAAAAACAAGAAATGGCCTTGCACTAAAATCCTCCTGAAGTAATTAAAGTTACCAATACTTCTGTTTCATTCTTGGGGACTTTGTTGGTTTTATGGGCTGTATGGATTGGGATCTTTGATCATCTGGGGCCCCAACAACCCATCCTAATTTTGGTGACCCTCATCCAAAGTATTTCATTGCTATCCCTTATAAATTGAAATGCAGACAATACAAATTTACTAAAAAGAAACTTTCAGATCTTCTCTATTGTTAATCAATAACATAAAAAAATGCAAAACATCCAGTTCCTTATTTGGTACCTTCATTACCACAATGTTAAAAAAATCCCTTCATCTCTTGTACATCAATTTGATGATGACAGTCCACGGAGTCTGAGCAAGTTGCCTGGAGAATCGGAGAACTTTCACACATCACTCAGAGTTTCAAACACGCTGTCTCAAAAATACAAATGACCATCAGGGGAAACGCAACACACACACACAATAAACACAATAAAGCCCTATGAAATAAGATCTGTAAAAGGATCTACATGCATTGATAGGATATAATTGACCACACATCTACTCTACCAGATGGCAAACGCCACACTGGAGATGGGCAGTTGGTTATGATGATGAAGAGGCAGATTATGAGGGACAGACTAGGATGTAAGCTGCTATAAACAATGCTAAAGCAAGTTCAGTACTATAGAGGCATGGATAGGTTTTGAACCTCTCACCATTTGTCGAGTACTGAACCTGTATAATGCTCGATTAACAACCCTTCATCTACTAGGCCACCCCGACAACCCCTGCTAAAGATGATGGTGATTAACATGATGATGAGTACCATTTGACTGACATGCAGAAGGAACCTCAGAATTCATCAACCACTAGGCTAAACCTCAATCCTCAGCTGATGATGATGATGATGATGATGATGATGATGAAAGTGATGATAAAATGCTTTAAAAAAGCTTTACAAAAACAAGTACAGCTTACATACAACATTTACAGTAAAATGTTCATCATTGTATAATTTCCACTATTGATATCAATCATGACTCACCCTCCAGTTGGATCTGAACCATGCATGACCAATGTGAGAAGGGACACAGGAACAGACAGACAGACAGCTGTACAGGTCACTGGGACCACCAGATGGCTGTACAGGACACTGGGACCACCAGGCGGCTGTACAGGACACTGGGACCACCAGACGGCTGTACAGAACACTGGGACCACCAGATGGCTGTACAGGACACTGGGACCACCAGGCGCTGTACAGGACACTGGGACCACCAGATGGCTGTACAGGACACTGGGACCACCAGACGGCTGTACAGGACACTGGGACCACCAGACAACTGTACAGGACACTGGGACCACCAGGCAGCTGTACAGGACACTGGGACCACCAGATGGCTGTACAGGACACTGGGACCACCAGATGGCTGTACAGGACACTGGGACCACCAGGCAGCTGTACAGGACACTGGGACCACCAGATGGCTGTACAGGACACTGGGACCACCAGATGGCTGTACAGGACACTGGGACCACCAGATGGCTGTACAGGACACTGGGACCACCAGATGGCTGTACAGGACACTGGGACCACCAGACAACTGTACAGGACACTGGGACCACCAGGCGGCTGTACAGGACACTGGGACCACCAGATGGCTGTACAGGACACTGGGACCACCAGGCAGCTGTACAGGACACTGGGACCACCAGATGGCTGTACAGGACACTGGGACCACCAGACAGCTGTACAGGACACTGGGACCACCAGACAACTGTACAAAACACTGGGACCACCAGAAGCTGTACAGGACACTGCTGTACAGGACACTGGGACCACCAGATGGCTGTACAGGACAGACACTGGGACCACCAGACGACTGTACAGGACACTGGGACCACCAGATGGCTGTACAGGACACTGGGACCACCAGACGGCTGTACAGGACACTGGGACCACCAGATGCCTGTAAAAGACACTGGGACCACCAGACGACTGTACAGGACACTGGGACCACCAGATGGCTGTACAGGACACTGGGACCACCAGACGACTGTACAGGACACTGGGACCACCAGATGCCTGTAAAGGACACTGGGACCACCAGACGACTGTACAGGACACTGGGACCACCAGATGCCTGTACAGGACACTGGGACCACCAGACGCCTGTAAAAGAGGACACTGGGACCACCAGACGACTGTACAGGACACTGGGACCACCAGACGACTGTACAAAACACTGGGACCACCAGACGACTGTACAGAACACTGGGACCACCAGACGGCTGTACAGGACACTGGGACCACCAGACAACTGTACGGGACAATGGGACCACCAGATGGCTGTACAGGTCACTGGGACTACCAGGCATCTGTACAGGACACTGGGACCACCAGACGGTTGTACAGGACACTGGGACCACCAGACAGCTGTACAGGACACTGGGACCACCAGATGCCTGTAAAGGACACTGGGACCACCAGATGCCTGTACAGGACACTGGGACCACCAGACGGCTGTACAGGACACGGGGACCACGGGACACTCAGGCGACTGTACAGGACACTGGGACCACCACCTGTAGGACAGGACACTGGGACCATCAGATGCGGCTGTACACTGGGATCGGGACACCATCAGGCGACTGGGACCACCAGACGGCTGTACAGGACACTGGTACCAGGCTGTCATCATATTTTCTTTCCTAATCTTGTCTGCCACAGGAAGCGACCTGAAGGTGATGCAGTAGCCTTGCGACGCCAGGAACACACAGCACAAATCAGGTTACTATTCAGTTTAATAACCTCCCTTGAAAATGATTAGGAAATATTGGACCAAAGCCTTGCAGCTGACACTGGAGGGTCATATAGTGCATTCACTAACAAATGCCTGGCCAGTTGGATATCTGAGGCACACATCAATAAACTGGTTCAGTATACTGTTGACAGGCCGACACACTGGCAGATACAACAGAAATACTGAGCATTAAAGACTGAATCCAGTGACATGTTCCTCTAAAAACTCAAGATGTTGATGCTTGAGGTGCATGAGTCCAAACTCATTGTTCAATACTAAAACACCACTGATTACATACGCCATACGACACAAACATAGTTGGCACACATTTGTACATACATCTCATTTACAGATCACTGTCTTTGCACATAATATATTTCTCTCCAAAGGATATAACAATCTGCCCACTAAATAATAAATATAACAGTTTTCTTACACAATACACAACTTTGATGCTCATTATTCACAAACCCTGTCTATTTGAGATAATTGTCCGATAGGTATTTTCTGTTGTTACATTGGCCACGTCATACATGGGGAGTTTCAACACTATATACACATCTTATCTACAATTAAAACCGAGCAATCTTGACACCACAATCAACAGTCCAGCCAAACTTAGAAACTGGTTCATGAAAACATGTGAGTTAGTGAGTTTTAGTTTCGGTTGTCACGGCGACTCTGTTTAATGTGGCACACATCAGAAACATACTACTTTGGTGAAATCTACCCGAATGGGTTCCGTCACACCAAGAAGGTTCTGGTAAGGTAAGAGCTGAAATCCTGAACAGCAAAATCTGATGTCTTGGACAAAGTTTTTACTGTCAGCGGGTCATCACTCTTATTACTGGTCTGATTTCTGTACTGTGTTAAATATATAACATTATAAGTGCTGATAGCATGATGAAAGAGAAAATTAAATATTCAATGTTGCCACTTCACAGGCAGTACGGGACTATACATTCTCAGAGGAAGAACTGTGGCCCAATCTCCCCACTCTGTACACAGGGCACTGAAGTCTCTATCAAATGTGCTTCATCTTAAAATATATCTGTTGCCCACAATACATGAACACCATACTGCAAAAGATTGTTTCTAATCCTCATGTTTTCATTAAAAGCACTTGCACTGTGCATGGAATTGTTACATTTTCTTCATGGCAGGAAGCAGCTAAGATCAACCTGTAACAGTGCAGTCACTCTAGGACATAGAATACGAGCTCCAGGACAATAGGGCCGTCCTGACTCTGTGACACTGCTCCATGAATCACTGGAATCAGACCACTGTCAAGGTCGTTCATGTAGAAGTCAGCCAGTTTCTCACCATTGGATCCAATCTCATAACCAACCTGTAAGTAAGAAAATCTTGCAACTTTAGTCTCGGTAGTGGCTTGTATTTCTATTGCACTTTCTTGATTCTATCTAGAAACTAATCAATACTTCAATGAACAGTGATATAATAATGAGCCTATGAATATGTTTTGGAAGTTTACTTGAAACCACAATCACAGACACCATGCTGACCAAACACTATTTACATCGACTATTTCTACAATTTTCCCTCATGACAAATAACCTTCACCTTTAAAAATAACCTTCACCTTGCCTTGTTTTCACAAAATTATATGTTTATGTACAATATACAAGCCAGTAATTTCCCAAATCATAAACAACACAAATGGAAACTCTTACATCCAAATAGTGCCTGAAGTTTTGCAAATTGTACTGCCCTCACCTGTTCTGTATCAAGAGTGACCCGGAGTCCTATCTTGACGGTCCCTGCCTCCTTCAGACGGTCCAGGTGTTGTGTGAGGCAGATGCAGGTTGCAGACGCTAGAGTCTCTGCCAGCCGACTCAGATCCACTGGCTCCCAGCGTGCGCCACTGTCCTCATTCTGGATGAAGAACACATCTGTCCATCGAATTGCACGGTGCTCCCCTACATAGTCCGTGGAGTTGTGAATGTGGATACTTTCCACTCCATCAAGGGACATCTTGTCAATGGGACTCTTCACACTGGAGGTTGATAAACAGACACAATAATACAATCATATGGACTGTCAGTTTGGGATTCATTCAAAAACAAATGCATTGGCCATCTTGTCATGCCCACCCTCCCAACATTCGCAATATGTCCATGGCCCACCCACCCAACAGTCACAGTCTGTCCATGGCCCACCCTTCCAACACTCACAATCTGTCCATGGCCCAACAGTCGCAATCTGTCCATGGCCCACTCTCCCAACAGTCACAATCTGTCCATGGCCCATGGCTCCCTCCCAACAGTCACAATCTGTCCATGGCCCACCCTCCCAACAGTCACAATCTGTCACAATCTGTCCATGGCCCACCCTCCCAACAGTCACAATCTGTCCATGGCCCCACCCTCCCAACAGTCACAATCTGTCCATGGCCCACCCTCCCAACAGTCACAATCTGTCCATGGCCCACCCTCCCAACAGTCACAATCTGTCCATGGCCCACCCTCCCAACAGTCGCAATCTGTCCATGGCCCACTCTCCCAACAGTCACAATCTGTCCATGGCCCACCCTCCCAACAGTCACAATCTGTCCATGGCCCACCCTCCCAACAGTCGCAAACTGTCCATGGCCCACCCTCCCAACAGTGTGTCCATGGCCCACCCTTCCAACAGTCACAATCTGTCCATGGCCCACCCTCCCAACAGTCACAATCTGTCCATGGCCCACCCTCCCAACAGTCACAATCTGTCCATGGCCCACCCTCCCAACAGTCACAATCTGTCCATGGCCCCACCCTCCCAACAGTCGCCAATCTGTCCATGGCCCACTCTCCCAACAGTCGCAAATCTGTCCATGGCCCACCCTCCCAACAGTCACAATCTGTCCATGGCCCACCCTCCCAACAGTCACAAACTGTCCATGGCCCAGCCTCCCAACAGTCACAAACTGTCCATGGCCCACCCCCTCCCCCAACAGTCACAATCTGTCCATGGCCCACCCTCCCAACAGTCACAATCTGTCCATGGCCCACTCTCCCAACAGTCACAATCTGTCCATGGCCCACCTCCCAACAGTCACAAACTGTCCATGGCCCACCCACCCAACAGTCACAAATCTGTCCATGGCCCCACTCTCCCAACAGTCACAATCTGTCCATGGCCCACCCTCCCAACAGTCACAATCTGTCCATGGCCCACCCTCCCAACAGTCACAAACTGTCCATGGCCCACCTCCCAACAGTCGCAATCTGTCCATGGCCCACTCTCCCAACAGTCACAATCTGTCCATGGCCCACCCTCCCAACAGTCACAATCTGTCCATGGCCCACCCTCCCAACAGTCACAATCTGTCCATGGCCCACTCTCCCAACAGTCACAATCTGTCCATGGCCCACCCTCCCAACAGTCACAATCTGTCCATGGCCCACCCCTCCCAACAGTCACAATCTGTCCATGGCCCCACCCCCAACCCAACAGTCACAATCTGTCCATGGCCCACCCTCCCAACAGTCACAATCTGTCCATGGCCCACTCTCCCAACAGTCACAAATCTGTCCATGGCCCACCTCCCAACAGTCACAATCTGTCCATGGCCCACCCTCCCAACAGTCACAAACTGTCCATGGCCCACCCTCCCAACAGTCACAATCTGTCCATGGCTCCACCCACCCAACAGTCACAATCTGTCCATGGCCCACCCTCCCAACAGTCACAATCTGTCCATGGCCCACTCTCCCAACAGTCATAATCTGTCCATGGCCCCACTCTCCCAACAGTCACAAACTGTCCATGGCCCACCCACCCAACAGTCAATGTCAATCTGTCCATGGCCCACTCTCCCAACAGTCATGCAATCTGTCCATGGCCCACTCCCAACAGTCACAATCTGTCCATGGCCCACCCTCCCAACAGTCACAAACTGTCCATGGCCCACCCACCCAACAGTCGCAATCTGTCCATGGCCCTCTCTCCCAACAGTCACAATCTGTCCATGGCCCACCCTCCCAACAGTCACAAACTGTCCATGGCCCACCCCTCCCAACAGTCACAATCTGTCCATGGCCCCACTCCTCCCAACAGTCACAATCTGTCCATGGCCCACCCTCCCAACAGTCACAAACTGTCCATGGCCCACCCTCCCAACAGTCACAATCTGTCCATGGCCCACTCTCCCAACAGTCACAAACTGTCCATGGCCCACCCTCCCAACAGTCACAAACTGTCCATGGCCCACCCTCCCCAACAGTGCTAAATCTGTCCATGGCCCACTCTCCCAACAGTCCACAATCTGTCCATGGCCCACCCTCCCAACATTGGTGATAACGTGTTGATGTCATGATCCACGTACCCGACACTGGTGATGACGTGTTGATGTCATGATCCACGTACCCGACATTGGTGTTCTTGTCATCTTCCACCCACTGCAGGACCACCACCTCCTCTGGCTTGTCAACAGCAGCGCTGCCACAGCCGATTGTGTAGTCGGTCATATCTTTGATGGCTTGTTTCACTGCCACCATACAGTCTGGCAGGATCTGCACCATTAGGCCGTCTTCTACTATGCTCGACTTTGCTCGTAGTCCTGAGCTTGTCTTCAGTGCGCCATTAAACACCACAAAACTAGCACCAGTCACTGCAAAGGCAAAGTTTAATTACTAATGACACTATATCAGATTTAGTCTGCCTTCTTAGAGCTGTAAATAATCGAGTCTGAACCAGACAATCCCATGATCGAGCGATACCAACTGGGATATGACAACATGTATCAACCACCTCACCACCCGATCCTACTAGTCACCTCTTACAAGCGATGGGTTGCTGAAAACCAATTTTAACCCAGATCTTCAAGGTCTGGTTTAACAGGGTGAGGTGAGGTGAAATTGGGTTTTACATCGTGCTTGAGAATATTTCGCTCATATGACGATGTGCATGCATGTGTATATGTATTTGCGACTGCTTGTACTAGCTCAGACTTAAGCTGGGTTTTTTTTTACAGAGATACCATGCCGCAGTGAAGCATGAATACCCCACTCAGACACATTTTACTGACTCTGAGCCGACAAGTCCTTGTTGTACCCATTAATGCCGAACGCCAGGCAGGGACCAACAAGTACCATATTTTGACGTCTTTTGGTATGAAGCGGTTGGGGATCGAACCCGCGACTTTCCGCTCTCCGGGCGGACGCTCTAACCACTACACCACGGAGGCGGTCGATTCAACAGGGAATCTAAAAAGCACTTTATAATACAAACATTACATACTCAAATCTGATTAGGTTAAAGCACTTGTTTGTATTCAGTCAATAAGTGGGTTCAGTTTGATTGATCAATATGTCCAAAGGAAAAATACATATGCACTTAGCTAATAATGCACAAATTATTCTAACAAAACCATGATAATTAGAACATTAAGCCCAGATGATACCTTGAATACAACCTAATAATGGGATGTTACACCGAGAAGCTTGTGCACAGCTGTATTGTGAAACTGACCTTTCTGCGAGGTTTGTTCTGGATGTTTATGGCCTGCGCTTGATAGTTGCCCTCATCGTTCTGTATACACACAAGGTGAGAGTCCGCATCAGCTGAAGCTGGAGCCCAATGCCATCACATGCTCGTTACTGCTGTTGACCATCTTCATCAGCTGCAGAAACAACAAACATCAGGTTCCCGGTCCCCAATACCATCACTTACAATCACTAACATCTCTTTGTGGGACTGGTACCCAGTGGAAACATGGGGGACCTTAACATATTTTATTTTTGGTGTGCGTTTGATGCATTAGACTGACTTCCAATGTTATGTTGACTGACCATACCCTTTTGGGGGGAGAGCTTACATTATGCATCGCAAGTTTCCTGGATGAAACATCAATATAGCCAAAGAGATGTGCATCAACTTAGCAGTTTTAATTGGGTCCTTGGCTACAGGGAGTAATGTTGTGTGAGTCACCTCATCATATCTGTTGCGGGGGAAGTTGATGACAGTCTTCTTGTCCTCCATGTGTATGTGGACTCCTCGGATCTGCGGCAGCATGTATTGGTAGTTCCGGAAGTCGGCCAGCAGGTTCATGATGGTGTGGCCAATCTCAAAGAACACAGGCTTGCGATTGCGATACTCACCAGGGGCACGGGTAGTCTGTGAATGAATTACAGGCTAAATATACCTATAACTGATAAATGTTGAACCTCTAGATAAACAAGGACACTTCCACATCCTGCGGTAAATACAGTTCATTTCCATATGAACAAACAGGAAGTGATACTATGGCATTGTATTGATCAACAATCAATAATAACAAGTGTTTGCCACTGATATGGCAATGTCCCCCACCGCTAAAGAATGGAATATCTATATTAAATACTTTTTATTTTTTGGTCACATACCAGATGGCCTGAAATGACTGGTATCTGCATAATCACCCAACGTAGGCTGTCAACATACTTGAAAACATTGGGTGCAATTTTTTATGAGATATCGCGTTTATGAGATATCGCGTTTAAAAAGCGGTCAAAGTGTCGTGGTGACCTTGATAATAAACTGGTGTCTGTGTAAAATAAATTTGATGACATTGGGTACAACAGTCCAGGAGATATCGCGATAACGAGTTAAAAGTGTAATAAGTGTCGTGGTGACCTTGAAGATGAGGTCAAGGTCACCCAAATAAACTGGTGCCTGCGTAATCCCCTAATGTAGGCTGTCACCAAATTTGAAGATATTGGATACTACAGTGCATGAGATATCAAGTTAACAACAGTTTGAAAAGTGGTCACAGTGTCGTGGTGATCTTGAAAATAAGGTCAAGGTCACCCAAATCGACTGGTGTCTGTGTAATGCCCTAATGTAGGCTGTCACCAAATTTCAAGACATTGGGTACAACAGTTCATGTGATATTGCGCTAACAAGAGTTTGTAAAGTGCAGGGTTCCCACAGGCATGGCAGGTCAAAATTCCCTGACTTTTCCCTGACAAGTATAAATTTTTCCCTGACCATTAAGTGTAAAAACTGGCCTTCTTCCTCCCTTTCAGTCAGTCCTAACCACCCTGTTAAGATATTTCCTTCACACATATCATAAATACACACAATATTTGTTAATTTAATACATTAACCAAAACATTGATATTTGTGATGAAGAAAATTTTCCTTGACTCTCCTGCCACAATGTTACATAATACTATTAGAAACATTTGACCGTGACCATCAAATATATATTCTCAGGTGAAGTCAGTAATATATCATCTGAAAACTTTGTATTTTATATTCAAGGCTTTTGACAAAGAGCATAAATGTGAAACTAATGATTTAATTGAATTGTTTCATTCAAAGTCAGGAGCACATTTCTTTATTATCACAAAATGTTGTAATTATCAAAGGCGTATTTGGAAAGAATAAACATGCAAGATGTAACTTTACATTCAGTACAACCATGACAACTAGATTATGAACATCATTAAACCACTTTCAATTTTGTGAATAAACAGCAAATGTCAGAACATAGGGCACATTATAAACCTATGCTGTACTTTAACAATGAAACTTATATGGGTATTTTTGGCCAATATGGGCTTTTACAATTTGCAAGAAACCACCATAGCCATCATACTATTTATAATATTTTGGAACAGTATAAAAATGAATGGAAACTTATCTGTTAACATAGTTATCTTTAGAAGAGGTGGATCTGTTGCCTAAAAAGAAAAATGTTTTTGAATGGCAAACAATTATCTATTGTTAATCACTATGCCTATCTCGGATTAGTGTTTTTCCATACTAAACAAGAGTCATCAGAAGATGACAAATCCCCCAGCCCATACAAATATGAAAGAGCAAATCATCTGACAGTTACTTAAAGTTGAACTTCATTTTTTTAGACAAATTCCAATATGTTTCAATGGAAACCAAGAAAAATAGATATGACAAAAATCTGTAAATAGCAAAAGGCACCACTTTAGGTTCTGTTTGATATATCTGCCAAGTTTTGTTGAAAGATATTAAACGGTTTTCGAGTTGTGCTCCGAAAAGCCCACCACTCCCTTTTAAGAACAATCTAAAACATTTCCATGGCAACCAAGAAAAATAAAAATGACAAAAATATGTAAATAGTGAAAGGCACCACTTTAGGTTCTGTTTGATATATCTGCAAAGTTTTGTAAAAAACATTGAACCGTTTTCGAGTTATGCTCCGGAAACAAAATGATTACGGATGGACGGACAAGGCGTCGACTATATCCCCCCGCATTCATGCTAAGAAGGCTCTTATCAAATTTATGTCAGTTTCCCAGAAATTTGGAACTTTAACCCGGAAAATATGTTTCATTTTGTTTGATTCACAAATCCAACCGATTGTGCTTCATAGAAGAATATGTCTGTTATGTCACCCGGCTGTAGAAGATAAAATTCACATTATGCTGATTTAGGAAAACAATACATGCCAAATAATTATCTGTAAAAATATCCTTCAAGTGACTTTGTTTCCATTCTATCCTCCAGAAATGAAAATGTAATATGTAATCTAGGGCTTTATGTTGTAAAACATGCTGTTATTCCTAAAAGCAATCTCTTATCTGAACTGTAATTTATTTCATGAAATGTCTGTAACATGTGCTGCTTCTTTGACTTTGACTACTACCATACCTGATTAGCGACATTCTGAGTCTTATTTTTCCCTGACCAAAACCCTAAATTTCCCTGACTTAAACCCCAAATTCCCTGACTATTCCCTGACTTTTGAAAACATATCAAAATTCCCTGACTTTTCCCTGACTTTCAGAGAAATGCCAAATTTCCCTGACTTTTCCCTGACCTGTGGGAGCCCTGAAGTGGTCAAAGTGTCGTGGTGACCTTGAAAATAAGGTCAAGGTCACCCAAATCGACTGGTGTCTGGGTAATCTCCCAATGTAGGCTGTCACCAAATTTGAAGACATTGGGTACAACAGTTCATGAGATATCGCGTTAACAAAAATCGGGATGTACGTACGGACGCCGCTGAATACATAGTCCCCCGTTCCGCGTTGCGTCGGGGGACAATAATCAATATAAAATCAATTGTTGACACTATGACAGCTTTATTCATAACAACTTTGTGAACACCTCTTTCTATGTTTATACCTCATAAAATGTAAAACAAATATTTAGGCAATGAGGTCAATACTTCAAGAAGTGTATTCCTTACATCTGTATTCAGCCCCCAGTCGTAGCAGAAGCCGAAGGGGAAACACTTTGGCCCAGGGCGTCTCCCACTTCTGAAGCAGGACTCCAAACAGATATGGCGGTGATGGCAAGGGCAGCTTCTGCAGACACTGGAACGTTGGCCGCAGGTAGAGGAAGCCTCCATGGTCTCGACTGTCCAGGAAACTCTGGTTGAAGATGGTATGTCCCATGTCTGACACAGTGTTACCTACAACCAGCAGATTGGACTTAGTGGAAGCAAGAAGCTGAGAGCCATCTGTACAGAACAATACTGTCACCCTGCATGATGGTCACTGTGACAGATTCTACTGCTCACAACAGAGATACAGCCTTGTTGTCACCAGTATATGTCATTTGAACAACTAGACAATGCCAGTGTACCCACCTTTCCCGGCCTCTTCGTACATGGTGGCAAAGTGACAGAAGATGTCCCTGGCAGGTCGGCTCTCATCAGGGAAACACTCCAGAATTATTATTATCTCGTCTTGACCCACAGTGCAAAGGCCACGCGTCGTGAAAGTCCAGCATTCACGGTTCACGCAACAGTCCACTGTAACCATGGCAACAAATAACTGACATTGCATCAACATTCACATTTCCATAGTGACCATTTTCAACATTCAACATTTAGCCAAGTACTATTTTTTCAAAGGAATAAACCCTCTTGTTATCTCCAAGCTATATTTTAATGGCTTCAGGATTTTGTCTGAGGCACCAATCATAATTTTCTCAAATTGGTTAGCATTCCACTTGTGTCACCGTTAGATCTACACTGATCATCTAGGTAAATTGGTCATGAGGGTTGGACATTAGTAGAAACCACACTGCATCATGGGTTAAATACAAAATGCCAAAGCATCCAATGTTATATCTGCGTAAAGTATAGATTCGGGTACTTGTTGGAGTTGAGTCCCATCTGAGATTCAAAGCCACACTTTCCGAGTGAGGCATATAACTGCCAGCAAAAAGTCAGCAATCTAACTAAGTCTTCCACTGCAGCCTCCACAACAGTGGAAGTCTGACAATTTATATCACATATTTAGTGTTCCTGGACCCAAGACTAACTTACAGGTGTGATTGAAGTTTGCCGCTAGATATCATTAATTCAAACTCTATACTACTCTCTTTGTTTTGACAAAGCCAGTTAATATAGAACAAACTTTATGGATAACAACTTCTTTTTATTCGTGAGTGCGACGTTTCGATACAGATTCTTGTACCGTTGTCAAGCATAATGACAAAAAGCCAGTTAATCCAGACAATCGAAGATGCCAAAATATAAACACACCAGCTGATAGCACTGATCCATGCATGTAACTTGAAACTGAATATTGAAGCTAGAGTACTTACACATGAGGATCTTGACAAGCACCTGCAGGTTGCTGTTAATAGCAAATATGATTGGTTCAGCTTCCTCATCTAAAAACAAGACAAAAGGGACTCACCATCACATACTGCCTCAGAGAGGTCAACATCATGGGTACAATTAGTGAAGGTAATACCAGCTGTTTATTCATGACAGAATGCAAACAATGGTATATAACCTCACTCACTCATGTTATATAACTGTACACGAGTAATCACCAAAAACAACAGAGCTGAACAATGTCTTCAACACCGTATCTCATGAAACAAACAAAATGGCAGCAAATAGTGGGTAAATACTGCTGTGGGACATCGATATCCCAAGATACAGAGTCCGAAATAAAGCATGTATGGCTCAGTTCGGGTCAACTCTTCCGGACAAAACGGCAGACAATACCAAGGCCATCCATACCCTGTTAATCAGCAGTATGATATCAAAGTGCCATGTACGTTTAGCCTAACATAGTGGACACACATGATATTGATCTACATGTATGAATTTAATATAATTTTTATGATTGTTACACCAATACTATGATTTCATGATTTCCCCTATTTTTTGTTAATAAGATAACCTAAGACGTAAAGCACAACTCACTGAATCACTTGTCCATGCAATCCTTTCACACATCCAAATAACAATCAAAACTCTTCATTTTCTTCAAAGACTTGGTCCATTACTAAAATGATTAACAATGATCTCAGTGTCTATTCTTACTTTTAATCTGTGGCAAATGCTTCTCTGGGTCATAATTGTCTTCAAGACTGACATCTGAAATGAAAGAAATAGTTTCTTTAAAGCTTCAGCAAGTTAAAACATAAACCAAGTAAAAGCTAACAAGGTGTGAATAAGTGAGTATCTCAAAAGATACGCTTAAAGTCAACATTTCATTTGACGTTCTTTTATTGCAGAGTGGTGGGTTGGCAAAACATGCAAATTTCAGGTAAGAATGGTGGGCTGTACACTGCACTACACTACACTGCACACCCCCTTGTTACAACATTCATTAAACACACACATGTACATGATAGTTTGTTAAACAACTTTTCATTTTCTTCATGTCAATGTAAGAAATTATAGTGACAATTTAGTATGGACAAATGACTTACTTTTATGCCATTTAAGACGACTTGTTGCTTTTGAAGGTAAATTAATTTGCCATTTCATCAGTACAATTTGCAGCAAACGGACTACAGTCAAGAAGGCTAAGGTGTGACTGAGTGAGTGAACACATGTACTGGATCTAGTCTTACCGCCTGCATCTGTCAGGGAGTACAATGGGGGAAGACCATCTTCTGGGATCAAGCACCTGTTCCTGGCATTCTCAGTTCCTCTCAGCCTCCTTGTCTTGGGAGAGGATTGTCCTCCTTGAAACAACACAACAGATTCAATGACAGATTACTAAATGAAGAACTGGATATATGACTTGCTACTCAAACAAATCTACAGATGAGTCAACCATGGCTAATCCTGTTGTCATGGTTCTGGTGTAACTTACAACAAAGTTTTAGAAGATATTTGAGTTTTTCTGATTTTCAATAGAAACACTTCTCTTTGATTACTACAATTTTCTGCAGAGTGCAAGTCTCAAACACTGCCTGGTATTAACGATTGACTGATTACTATCCTCCAAGCTGACTATTGCCATCCACTGTTGGCATAGGGTAGTTTTCCAATGAGAAGATCACTAGGAGCACTACCTATTATCAGATACTCCAGGCTTTCCATTTGTTTGGATGGAACTAGAACAGCAATCAGCAATCGGCCACTTGATTGATCAGTGAGAAATTACAAACAGATTTTATGGAAATGATTGTAATGTGCTGTCATGGAATGTGGAAAATATGTTTTCCCAAAACCCATCTCCCTTCCATTCCTATATCCCCCACTTCATCCATTCCTATATCCCCTTATGCCATCCATTCCTATATCCCCCACCTCATCCATTCCTATATCCCCTTATGCCATCCATTCCTATATCCCCCACCTCCCATCCATTCCTATATACCCCACCTCCCATCCATTTCCTATATCCCCCTCTCATCCCCATCCCCATCCATTCCTACATCCCCACCTCCCATCCATTCCTATATCCCCACCTCCATTAATTCCTATCCCATCCCCATCCATTCCTATATCCCCACCTCCCATTAATTCCTATATTCCTATATCCCCACCTCCCATCTATTCCTATATCCCCCACCTCTCATCCCATTCCTATATCTCCCACCTCCCATCCATTCCTATATCCCCCACCTCCCATTAATTCCTATATCCCCACCTCCCATTAATTCCTATATCCCTACCTCCCATTAATTCCTATATCCCCTACCTCCCATCCATTCCTATATCCCCACCTCCCATCCATTCCTATATCCCCTACCTCCCATCCATTCCTATATCCCCCACCTCCCATTATTCCTATATCCCCACCTCATCCCACCCCCATCCTCCCACATCCCCATCCATTCCTATATCCCCTTATGTCATCCAATCCTATAATCCCAAACCCATCCATTCCTATGTCCCCCACCACCCATCCATTCCTATATCCCCACCTCCCATCCATTCCTATATCCCCTACATCATCTATTCCTATGTCCCCACCTCATCATCCATTCCTATATCCCCCACCTCATCCATTCCTACCCCCCCTCCTCATCTATTCCTATATCCCCACCTCATCCATTCCTATATCCCCACCTCCCATCCATTCCTATATCCCCCACCTCATCCCTATTCCTACATATATCTCCCACCTCCCATTAATTCCTATATGCCCCACCTCCCATTAATTCCTATATCTCCCACCTTCCATCCCATTGCCCATCCATTCCTATATCCCCCACCTCCCATTAATTCCTATATCTCCCACCTCCCATTAATTCCTATATCTCCCACCTCCCATTAATTCCTATATATCCCCCCCTCCCATCCATTCCTTTTCTCACTCATCCCATCCATTGCTACATCCCCCACCTCACATCCATTCCTATATCTCCCACCTCCCATCCATGCCTATATCCCCCCTCTCCCATCCCATTCCTACATCTCCCACCTCCCATCCATGCCTATATCCCCCTTCCTCAGATCCAATTCCTTTATCCCCACTTCCCATTCCAATTTCATAATGTGACAATAATTTATAAATCCCCCTCCCCCCCAAAAAAACCCCAAAACCCAAACAAATAAAACCCCACATTTGGATCATTTTTACCTTGTGCCTTCTCCACCTTCTTCTGAAGTCGTCCCAGTGCCTAGGGGGGAGCCGAGCCTCACTGGACCCATCCAGCTCTGTCAAATCTCCTCCAGGACGAATCCCATCTGAGAACATTACTTGTTTGGGCTCTGCTCTTCTCTGGCTCCCTACACAAGCAGTGGAAGAACTATTGGACCAGAGCTAGACCCACGGGCAACATGCAAGTCACTATCTAACTAGCTACCAGGCCACACCAACATTCAGCACAAATCATAGAAAACACAAAGTGAAAGGAACAATAAAGCCATTCAAACTACAGAAAAACAGGATAAACAGCACTTCCAATACCTTTGAGGCACTAAATGCCAAAAAAACAAGTAAAAATGGTAGTTGATAATCCCCAAACTGTATTAATAATGTGTGATGACGAAGAGAGTGAAACCAGTGCAACTGAATAAACAGAAAGAACAATGGAGGAGGCTGAACGTAGGGGTGATTTGAGAGTTGGGTACATGACACAGGCTTGTCAGATACACTCTGCTACATCCTGACACACCGTGGGCTGCTTGTTGAAGAAGAGCGACACATACACAGGAAGTAATGAGCAACATACCCAAACACTGTTGCAACGTTCACAGTAAACAAAAAAAGAACATCCACCATTAAACTTATCAATAGTCTTTGCATTTATTGAAACTTGGCTTAATGTTCTATTAACATAAGCAAATAATTGAACATCTGTTGATGAGTAGAGTCTGAAGGCACCCACCATGGCTACAACTCACCCTCTCGTTTAAGGACGCCCACCGGTACCAAAACAGTGGGCAGGGGGGCACGTGTGCATTAGCCTGTTGCTGAGGTGGAATGGTAGAGCAGTATTCGCTGGGGTTATTGGGGTTGGGGCTCCGGCGAGACGAACCACCGGTCGGCGACCAATCAGCTGGGAACACCAAGCAGAAAGCAGGATGAGCCAGCCGCCACACGTGATCACATGATGACAGCAAGCCAATCACATGCAAGCATTTGGAGCAACCACCAATCCAATAAAGGCACAAGTTTGACAATGGTCCAATATTATTTTCAGAAGCCATTCTTGATCAACTTCATTGTCATGTTCCACAACAAAACTCCAATTTCCAGTTCTAAATAATAGAGCCTCACCCCCAATTTTTTTTTCCTCTTCCTTCTTTGAAGTAGTATGTATGTTTTAGAGAACAAATATTATTTTATACTTATCCTGACTCATACTATTTGCTTCTCTCTCCTTTGCTCCAAGACATATTAGAAATGCCCTGTTACGTTCCTCACGAACAGTGAAAACATCTCATCCAAACACAACCCTCCACTGCACATGTGCACGGACTCCCCACATGACCAGCCGGTGACCACTGTCACCATTTTTTTCATGTCCACATAGTAAAAGAAAATAGTAGTGGAGAGCAGGGATGGTTGGGGGGGTTCTTTAGGCTATGAGTCAGGATAAGTATAAAATTATTCTTTTACCGAAAATAAATGCATATTTTTCTTTATCGCGACTCACACTATGTTTGAATCAGTTGGTAGGTAGAACCAACCTAAATTTGAATTCATGTACGGTTCATATAACCCCTAGGAAACTTCCAATCTTCTTGAATCTTGATGAAACGGGGTACAACTTGTTTTCGCAACAAAAGAAGTAAATCTTAAAGACTTTGTGGATTTGTTATATTTGCACAGGAATACAATTCTTGCTTGTCTTAGGATGATCCATATGCTAAGGTATAGGTTGTAAACTGAATGGTATCACTCAAGCTCTGAATTACATATAACAGGAAGGCATGGCCTCTCAGTCACGGTATGGATCAGTAACATCACTTCCACGACTCTACATGATTGTGGGTTTCTCAGTTTATCTCCTTGTGGATACTGTCAACTGTCTTACAACGTAAGGACCAAACTGATAAATGCCAGCTTTATGTTCTGTTGGGGAATCTCTGAGATAAAGGTTGTCCAAGACTGTATCCAACTTCCACGATGGATGTGATAGAACAGCTGTCACCCAGCAAGAATGTGTATGGAACAGCTCTGAATTTGTGCGGACTGGATGCCTTATTCATATACATATATGTGTGTGTTTATAAATATCCTCTGAAACTCCCTTCTTCCTAGTGCCATTCTTTGCAGATAAACATGAAGGGCTCTGACCGAGCAAAGTGATATATCTTCTGTTTCTTCTGCACTGGTTTCATTCTTCTGTCAGAGTTGGAATATGCAACTGTCAGCGTCCTCTGATCCACAAAAAACCCAGGTGGTTTGCCTGAAAAAACTTCAGCACTGGATTCTCTGATAGATTGTCTGCATATGGAGTTCACAGTCTGAACTCACCTGATCAGCACTTGATCGTCAGAGTCTTGAACAGCTTCATTATTCACACTAGAAATATTTGCATCAAAAAAGGTTGGTAATTACCCTGACATGTTAGAGGCTTCAAAGGTCTGAGATTGTGTGAAGGTCTAAGGCCGTGTGAAGGTCTGAAGCTAAATGCAGCCTCTCTGATGAACGCTCTGGATCGCCTGTGAAAGTGTAGATGATGATGATGATATTTATATAGTGCACATATCCACGCAACTAGTACATGCTCAAGGCGCTTGAGATAGTTGTGCGAATGTTGACTGCCGTTTTGAGGTTTTAATAAGGTCTAAGTCTGCATGAAGGTTGCATGAAGGAAGAAGCTATAGTTTTACGATTATCCTTCAAACATGTCTCATTTATCTTCTTTTATTGCTGAAGGGTTTGTGAAACCTGAGGTAATAGTCGCAAATGGCCATGTGAAGGTCTGGGCCACCTTGGAGGTTTGTGAAGATCTGAATGTTTTTGAAAGACCGGGAGGGGGTTTCATGGGCAACGGAAAGAGCAGTAGTTTACCGAGATGACTGCGTGCAGGTCTTGATGTCATCTTCATGAGCCCTGTGGTGACGGTTGCCAATGGCTTCCCACTTTTTTGTTCATCTTCTTCCATTGCACAGCGAAGAAACAAATGTGCAAACGCATTATATCCTAAAGGAGCACAAAAACTATTATCTAAGTTGCAATGTGTAGGGACACATGTTGAAGCAAGTTGTGTGTGGATCTCTGGTCGAAAAACACAAAAACTTTCCCTAATTAATCACCACTCACAATAAAATAACTCATAGATATGATGAACTAAACCCTAACAAAGATTAATCGAAGCCAAAATTTCTAAAAAGGCTACTATTTTTTTTATGGGATGGCTTGTATACAAAACACGGAGATATTTTCCCCAACCATTCCCCGGGTGGAACTAGAGATAGTGATAAGTCACCAACAAGTCTCAGACGGAGCCAGTGCAGTGGAGGGGCGAGATGTTTTCACTGTTCTGGAGGAACATAACACAGAGCATTTCCACCATGTCTCGGCTTTAAGGAGAGAGAAGCAAATAGTATGAGTCATGATAAGGAAAATAATGAGAATGAAATGATATTTTTGGCATTATTTCCATATTTTTTGTCAAAATAAGACCAGACAAGTTTGACACAAGAAATAAATTTAAATAGTTTGATTGTTATAGGGCTGACACACACCAACACTGGATTAGGCACTGACACATGCGAGAAAGCTGAAGATGCAGTGGTCTAGGAACATGCTCACTAAATGTCAATCAAAGAAGAGAGACAGGTGGTCTGACTGCCCCGCCCACATTATCTGCATGTGACTGACAGAGGTGGATTATGAGATGAGAGGCCTTCTCCAGGTTTATCAGGAAGCTTGAACAATGAGTGTCCATCAAGAAGACGGTAGTAGTAGTGAGAGTGTAGTGTGTCAACAGAGGCATTATTCAGAGTTATGTGAAAAACTCTCAAGGATAAACGCTGTAATAAAGTGCCCTCCTTCTTCATCCTCCTCTTCACAGCCAGTCCCCATACTGCCCTCCAACTAATCTGTCTGTCCTGGTGATCCCAGGTCTGTCTGTCTGTCCTGCTGCTCCCAGATCTGTCTGTCCTGGTGGGTCCTGGTCTGTCTGTCCAGGTGGTTCCTGGTCTGTCTGTCTGTCCTGGTGGTCCCTGGTCTGTCTGTCTGTCCTGATGGTTCCTGGTCAGTCTGTCCATCTGCCTGTCTGTCTGTCCTGTGGTCTCTGGTCTGTCTGTCCTGGTGGATCCTGGTCTGTCTGTCTGTCCTGGTGGTTCCTGGTCAGTCTGTCCATCTGCCTGTCTGTCCTGTGGTCTCTGGTCTGTCTGTTTGTGCTGGTGGTTCCTGTTCTGTGTGTCTGTCCTGGTGGTTCCTGGTCTGTCTGTCCTGGTGGTTCCTGGTCTGTCTGTCCTGGTGGTTCCTGATCTGTCTGTGCTGGTGATTCCTGGCTGTCTGTCCTGGTGGTTCCTGGTCTGTCTGTCCTGGTGGTTCCTGGTCTGTTGGTGGTTCCTGATCTGCCTGTCCTGGTGATTCCTGGTCTGTCTGTCCTGGTGGTTCCTGATCTGCCTGTCCTGGTGGTTCCTGGTCTGTCAGTCCCGGTGGTCCCTGGTCTATCTGTCTGTCCTGGTGGTCCCCAGTCTGTGTGTCCTGGTGCGTCCTGGTCTGTCTGTCTGTCCTGGTGGTCCCTGGTCTGTCTGTTTGTCCTGGTGGTTCCTGGTCTGTCTGTCTGTCCTGGTGGTCTCTGGTCTGTCTGTCCTGGTGGTCTCTGGTCTGTCTGTCTGTCCTGGTGGTCCTGGTCTGTCTGTCTGTCCTGGTCCCTGGTCCCTGGTCTGTCTGTCCTGGTGGGTCCTGGTGGTCCTGGTCTGTCTGTCTGTCTGTCCTGGTGGTCCTGGTCTGTCTGTCTGTCCTGTCTGTGGTCCCTGGTCTGTCTGTCCTGGTGGTCCCTGGTCTGTCTGTCTGTCCTGGTGGTCCTGGTGGTCTGTCCTCCTGGTCCTGGTCTGGTCTGTCTGTCCTGTCCTGTGGTCCCTGGTCTGTCTGTCCTGGTGGTCCTGGTCTGTCTGTCCTGGTGGTCCTGGTCTGTCTGTCCTGTTGGTCCTGGTCTGTCTGTCCTGGTGGTCCTGGTCTGTCTGTCCTGGTGGTCCTGGTCTGTCTGTCCTGGTGGTCCTGGTCTGTCTGTCCTGGTGGTCCTGGTCTGTCTGTCCTGGTGGTTCCTGGTCTGTCTGTCTGTCCTGGTGGTCCTGGTCTGTCTGTCGTGGTGGTCCTGGTCTGTCTGTCCTGGTGGTCCCTGGTCTGTCTGTCATGGTGGTCCTGGTCTGTCTGTCATGGTGGTCCTGGTCTGTCTGTCCTGGTGGTCCCTGGTCTGTCTGTCCTGGTGGTTGGTCTGTCTGTCTGTCTGTCTGTCTGTCTGGTGGTCTCTGGTCTGTCTGCCCTGGTGGATTCTGGTCTGTCTGTCATGGTGGTTACTGGTCTGTCTGTCTGTCTGTCCTGGTGGTCCCTGGTCTGTCTGTCCTGGTGGATCCTGGTCTTCCTGTCATGGTGGTTACTGGTCTGTCTGTCCTGGTGGTCCCTGGTCTGTCTGTCCTGGTGGTCCCTGGTCCCTGGTCTGTGTCTGTCCTGGTGGTCCCTGGTCTGTCTGTCTGTCCTGGTGGTCCCTGGTCTGTCTGTCCTGGTGGTTACTGGTCTGTCTGTCCTGGTGGTCCCTGGTCTGTCTGTCCTGGTGGTCCCTGGTCTGTCTGTCCTGGTGGTCCCTGGTCTGTCTGTCATGGTGGTCCTGGTCTGTCTGTCTGTCCTGGTGGTCACTGGTCTGTCTGTCCTGGTGGATTCTGGTCTGTCTGTCTGTCGTGGTGGTCCTGGTCTGTCTGTCCTGGAGGTTACTGGTCTATCTGTCTGTCGTGGTGGTGTCTGGTCCTGTCGTCGTGGTCCTGGTCTGTCTGTCGTGGTGGTCCTGGTCTGTCTGTCCTGGTGGTCCTGGTCTGTCTGTCCTGGTGGTCCCTGGTCTGTCTGTCATGGTGCTCCTGGTCTGTCTGTCTGTCGTGGTGGTCCTGGTCTGTCTGTCTGTCGTGGTGGTCCTGGTCTGTCTGTCTGTCGTGGTAGTGTGTCTCACCTGACTGGAGAAGCTGATGACACTGCTGACACACCCGAGCCTCCTTCAGGTCCATGTAGGCCAGAGCACTCTTCTGGCTGCAGCATGTTGAGCAGAACACCTAAACAATAGAAGATAGCTGCGTACAATCACACACCAACAGGTGAACAAGACCCACAACTGGAATTGTTTGATCAGCATTCTAGAACAAAATTGACAAACTTTATGGATAACAACTTCTTTATTACGAGAGTGTGACATTTCAATACAGATTCTTGTACCGTTGTCAAGCAGTTTGTCAATTTTGTACTTCCCAGCTTCTAAAATGCTACTCAAAGAAGTCAGCATTCTAGAAGTTGGTGAGTCAAAAATGAAACATTTTTGGTCTTAAGAAACAAGAATGGCATCTGAATCTTTAGTTTTATCCTCTAAAGTGAGTTTTGGCCCTTGTGAGATACAATTCTAGCTTCATCAATGGACATGCTACATCAGTTCATACCTATTTTGGAATCCATCACACAGAAGCTACCAAGCCAGTCAGAAGAAACTAGGTTGCACAGTTGACTGTAACCTGTGGCTTCACAATGATTTGGTCTTTGATGAGGAAGATCAATAAACTGATTTTTCTGATAAGACTGTAATACATATTAGTAACAAAGTCATTAAGAATTTTCGTCCAGACTAAATATAGTTTTGCGCATTATTATCTATAAAATATACTATGATCATATGGCCATGATTAAACTGAAACTGAGTCAACTCTGGCGTGCTTCTTGACTCTGTGACCGTACTGACCTTGCCACAGGCTCTACAGTGATGCCTCCTCTTGGTGAACGTGAATTTGGCCTGGCACTGCATACAGTTGGGTGCCTCGTGGTCTGGCACCCAAGTGGGGGCCACCCGACCCAGGTTGGAGTGGATAATGGAGGGTGGGGGAGGTTCATTAGACATGGGTAGAGACCCCTCCTCATCTGTTACCCCAGAAGCTTCTGTAAGACCTTCGTCACCTTCACTGTACTCTTCCCCTACTGCCAGCACAACATAAAATCACGTTCTTTAGGGGTGACTTACTGACAGAGAAACAAGGAATCATTAACAAGAATTTTAAATTTTCGTTACTTCTTTTTTTTTTTGTCAGTGGAAACTAATTAGATAATATCTCAAATTGATATCGTACAATTCATAGAATACTCACAACAAACAGAAGTGATTTTATCTAAAAAATGCAAGATTCTCCTTTATGTACATTTTATAACGGTATAAATGAAACTATTAAACATCTTGTATTTGACTGTGTACATGTAAAAGCTTGTGGCAAACACTTGTTGGAATGGATCAAATATAAAACTGGAAATAGTTTAGAACCAAATGTAACACACATGAAATTTGGTTACAAAGAAGAAAGAAACGATGTACTAAACTTACTTTTTATTGTTACCAAACATTACATGTATACATGCAAATGCCAGAAAAAAACAAGAGTCATCAGAAGATGACATATCCCCCAGGCCCCTACATATTTGAAAGAACAAATCATCTGACAGTTACTTAAAGTCCAGCTTGATTTTTGTTAGACTAAGTCCAAATTGTTTCCATGGAAATCATGAATAATATAAATGCCAAATATCTGTAAATAGCAAAAGGCACCACTTCAAAATTTGCCTAATATATCTGCCAAGTTCTGTTGAAAGATACTGAACTCTTTTCAAGTTGTGCTCCGGAAATGAAGCCCACCCCTCCCTTTTGGGACTAAGTCCAAATCATTTCCATGGAAACCAGGAAAAATAAAAATGCCAAAAATTTGTAAATATCAAAAGGCACCACTTAAGGTTCTGTTTGATATATCTACCAAGTTTTGTTGAAAAATATTGAATGGTTTTCGAGTTGTGCTCCGGAAACGAAGCCCACCCCCCCTTGAAGACTAAGTCCAAAACGTTTCCATGGAAACCGAGAAAACTAAAAATGCCAATATCTTTAAATAGAAAAAGGCACCACCTTTGGTTCTGTTTGATATATCTACCAATTTTTGTTGAAAAATATTGAACGGTTTTGAGTTATGCTCCGGAAACAAAAAGATTACGGACGGACGGACGAGGCATCAACATTACATGCCGGGGGGATATAAAGCCGCATATAAATGGCCTTAAATTAGTTTTACAAGATTCCTATAACATAAGTAAGCAGCTTCTCTACACAGATTGTTGATATGAAAAATTCATCTCATTCTGGTCTACATGCCACATCCTTTTTCACTTAATTCCTTTTTGTCATACTCGGCCATATTGAAATGTATGCCATAAAACAGGAAATGTCTGGATCTACAATGTAAGCTATGTTGAAAATGTATGTTGTACATGTTGTGATGCCTACAAAAAAAGTAATAAAAAAAAATAATCTCAAACTGACAGATTGCTGTCAAGAAAAGTATCATCCTGACATTGTTTCAGACTAAAATAGGAGATTGCTTTCTACAAATAAAAAGAGTTAATGTCAAGGAAGCTACAACACTCCTTTGTTTGGAACAATGTTCTATGTACTTACCTGACTGCTCGGCTGTCTCCTCCTCGGGGATTTCCTCCTGCATCATTCCAATGCCCCGCATCCGCCCACTTGTGTCCGGGGACCGGTCACCAGCCATGGCAAGCTCTCCCCGAGGGGGCAAGTTCAGACTGGTGGGACGCCTTAGTTTGCCCGGTGGGGCTATCTGACCTGATCCTGGACTCCAGGAGTGGGGCCGAGCTGGCATACCTAGAAACCCATGGGCACAATATCAAAATGTATCCAACAACTTGTTTGTATGATTGTCCACATGGTGCATACTCTAAAAAAACTATGATTAAAAATAAAGGTTAAGCTTAAGTAATTTATCATTGGAGCATGTGTCAAGGCATCACCACTTACCAGCCGGTACGTTGAGCCCTGGCTGGACAAGCTGCTCCTCACCCCGCCTCATTATCGGCATGTCATCCATCGTCTCCCCAACTCCAGCCAGGGTAGTGACCTCTCCAACCACCTCATCCTCACTGGCCTCCCCTTCCATCATCCCATCTACAGGCTGGTCATTAGGCTGTCCATCTTGTTGGTTAATGTGTTGCCCGACCGACATCCTGTCCATCCTCTGTCTTTGCTCCTGTTCAATCTGTTGGCGGATCTCAAAGTTTGACAGTTGTTTTTGTTCACTGCCAGGAGCAGTAGGAACCTCCCTGACCTCTCCTCCAGGCGGCTGTGGGAAACTACCTCCATACTGATTAACACTGCCAGGAGGTGGCTCCATCATCTCACTACCAGCCATGTCCCTACTCTGGGATGACTCTGCTAGCAAATGTCCTTCTGCCATTTGAGCTACAGATTCAGAAGTTTCAGAAACCTCAAGAACAATATTATATGGAGAAGCCATATTGACTTTAGAAAGTCCTAACAAACTATTAGGGCGATTCTTTTTAATGGAGGATGGATCTTTTGGCCTGGCTCCTATCCCAACAGTCGGGGGACTGCCCTGTTCGCTGGGGCTGGAGTTGGCCTCTGAAGACCCACCAGCACTGCCATATCTTCCAGCATCACTTAAAGATGATTCTTCAGATGCAGAGTTCACATTTCCACAGGAACCTTGTTGTTTCCTGGAGTCAGGTGAAACATCCCTTGAGGTGGACTGAAGAGTAGGAACAAGATTTGTATCTCTCATCTGATCTTGACCCCCAGTCTGTGTCAACACATCAGAATCACTATAAGCATTCTGCGACTGTTTACTATTCATTAATTCACAGACTTGAGTTTGGTTCTCTGACACATCCATCCCCTCTGAATGAGGGATCTGTGAAGGAACACTTGCCACGCCACCAGGGCCTGGTAGAGGAGAATATTGCACAACACCCTTTTGATCATTCATGAAGTTTTCACTTCTACCAATGTCAAGCACAATGTCTGGATTAACCTGTTTAGGTAAACCATGCTGGTTCTGTTGCTTGCTGTCAGATGTGTCAAATGAGTCATTGAGATACTGATCAATTTCATTTTCATCAACATCACCACCAACACTGTCAAACCCCACAGTTGTTCCCCCTGTAGATTGGGAATGACCTTGACCTAATTTTGTCCCATTTACATTATCAGAAATCTGCATACCAGGTGATTTATCTGTTGACTTGGTGTGGGAATCCATCAGTACAGAGTCTGTGTGATTTGTGGGAACCGACTCGAGTCTTGCATAGGGTGCAGAATGCTGATAGGGGTCATGAGGCTTAGATCCAATGGGTATTGAGTTATGATCATGGAAATTAGTTATAACATTAACTTCAGAATTACCATGCCCATCAACAATAATGTCCGACTTTGGAAATGGTACGGAATCAAGTTCTCTCTCAGTTCTGGGTGTCAAGGCGTCAGTCTGCACTGCGGTCACCTGGGAAGCTACCAAGCCTTTTGTTGAGTTCTGGAAGTCGTCATTAACAACTGAGCCATTATGTTTGGAATACACAGAATCACCAATATCATTATCACCATCAACAATGTCCTGTTCAGAATTGTTCCAGTGTTCTTTCTCTGCCTCTCCTGAGGCTGTCAATGTCAAAATTGAGTTTGGTTCAACAGACAGATCATTACTCTTGGACACTAGATCAGCTTCCTTTTCAGACAGGCTAATCCTGTGCTGAAGGCTATCCTGCTTGCTACCACTGCCATACTGAATGCTACCACCCAGGTCCAAGTCACCTCGGCCAAACTCCACATTGGCAACATTTCTCTTTAGATTTGCCAGATGAGTTGCATCAATGAAGTCATGTTTTCTGTTACCCCCTGCATCATATGGAGTATCATAGTCGTACATGCTACCTTCCATGCTTCCCTTCCCTGCCAGGCCATACCCCAGCTGCATGCCAAGTCCAGACACAGGGACTTCCGCCAACGACTCCCATGGCTTGTCTCGGTGGGACTCCAAATACTCGGAGTAGCCACTCGGCCTCACTTCCTGGCCAGGGGTCAGAGAGTCTGCAGCCTTCTCTGCAACACAAAACAAAACATGAGGAACTCTCATGAGACATGTGCTCAAGTATAAATGACAACTCACTCCATGTTTACTTTATTTTAAAAATCTACTCCAATTCAGCATTTCATGACAGCATATGCTTACTACATGTGACAACATTTGAAGGGAACCTCAAGAAGTGTTTAATATTTCCCTGAATTAGTACAGGTACAAGTGTTTTCCCCCATACTGACAGCTTGTCGCCTGTCCTAGGTGACACGTGGACCAGGCAGCATCATTGCTGCATCATGTCTCCTAGGATCAAATATTCGAAATATTCATACTTCAACAAATAACATGGAAGACACTTATCACAATGTTACAGCTGATTTCAGACCTTCTGTTTTAAGACATATCATACATAAAAAGGATAAATGCACAACATAGTCTGTCAGTCATTATCTTAACCAAGCTGTGAAAACTAATAAAATATCAAAGTAGCCATACTAAAAAGAAACAAAATCACCATTAACACCATAGCAACTTACCATAAAAGAACAAATTTACTTCCTTCCTTCGCCAAAAATCCATTGCTTTGTGAACTAGCTGTGGTGTGCAAGTTGTGTGTGTGTGTGAAGGGACAAAGTGTTCTAGGACACATGGCTGGCAAGTTGGCATCATAAGCAGCTTGTGCTGCACGACAAACTTGCATGCTGAGACAGCCTCAGACAGTGACACTTTATGGCACTGCAGATACCTTGGTGTTTGTATTGATCTGTGCTACCAATCTCCTTTAGTCACAGCAAGTGATTATCATGCACAAAATATCGTAGGTTCTTGCATAAATTGCAATTAAAAATTAACTAAGTAACAGCATGGAGATTCATAAGCCATTTCCATGTCAAGGCTAAGTCACATCATTGAAGAACAACATAAGACTTCACTTGTGCTCACTAATGAGAGTTTATCCAATGGTGCTATCCACCTCTGTTTACAAATCACTGTGTCAGATCTAAATGAAAGGTCCAACATGAAGCTTGTGGCATTTGGGAAGCTTTACTGTCACACCAATGTAGGTATAGTACTGACACATGACGTTCACATTCAGGTTTAATCTTGGAATCAAAATACAACTGGGAGATTTAAACAACACAACTCCGGTCTTGAGGAACACTGGGACAATTGAACATGTATGCCATCTACCATCACGTGTCACTACCATCACGTGTCTCTACCATCATGTTTCTACCATCATGTGTCTCAACCATCATGTCTCTACCATCATGTGTCTCTACCATCATGTGTCTCTTCCATCATGTGTCTCAACCATCATGTCTCTACCATCACATGTCTCTACCATTATGTCTCTACCATCATGTGTCTCTACCATCATGTGTCTCTACCATCATGTGTCTCTACCATCATGTGTCTACCATCATGTGTCTCTTCCATCATGTGTCTCAACCATCATGTCTCTACCATCACGTGTCTCTACCATCATGTGTCTCAACCATCATGTCTCTACCATCACAGTTACACATGTCTGAACCATCACATGTCTCTACCATTACCATTACGTCTGAACCATCATGTCTCTACCATCACGTGTCTGAACCATCATGTATCTACCATTACGTGTCTCTACCATCCGTGTCTCTACCATCATGTGTCTCAACCATCACATGTCTGAACCATCATGTCTCTACCATCACGTGTCTGAACCATCATGTGTCTGAACCATCATGTCTCTACCATTACATGTCTCTACCATCATGTCTCTACCATCATGTGTCTCTACCATCATGTGTCTACTATCATGTATCTACCATTACGTGTCTCTACCATCACGTGTCTCTACCATCACATGTCTCTACCATCATGTGTCTCAACCATCATGTCTCTACCATCTCATCTACGTTACGTGTCTGAACCATCATGTCTCTACCATTCATCATGTCTCTACCATCATGTGTCTCTACCATCACGTGTCTCTACCATCATGTCTACCATCATGTCTCTACCATCATGTGTCTCAACATCATCATGTCTCTACCATCACGTGTCTGAACCATCATGTCTCAACCATCATGTGTCTGAACCATCATGTCTCTACCATCATGTGTCTGAACCATCATGTCTCTACCATCATGTGTCTGAACCATCATGTCTCTACCATTACGTGTCTGAACCATCATGTCTCTACCATTATGTCTCTACCATCATGTGTCTCTACCATCATGTGTCTCTACCATCACGTGTCTCTACCATCATGTGTCTCTACCATCACAGTCTCTACCATCATGTGTCTCTACCATCATGTCTCTACCATCGTGTCTCTACCATCACGTGTCTCTACCATCATGTGTCTCTACCATCATGTGTCTCTACCATCACGTGTCTCTACTATCATGTCTCTAACATTACAGGTCTCTACCATCATGTGTCTCTACCATCATGTCTCTCAACCATCACGTCTGAACCATCATGTGTCTACCATCTCTTTTCGTGTCTCTCTACCATCACGTGTCTCTACCATCATGTGTCTCTGACTTCAGGTAATCATCCATCATGTCTCAACCATCATGTCTCTATCATGTTCATCATGTGTCTCTCATGTCTCTACCATCATGTGTCTCTACCATCATGTATCTGCCGCACCATGTCTCTACCATCATCATGTCTGATCACCATCATGTCTCTACCATCATGTCTGAACCATCATGTGTCTGACCATCATCATGTCCATCATGTCTCTACCATCATCTCTACTGATTATGTGTCTCTACCATCACGGTCTCTACCATCATTACGTGTCTCTACCATCATGTGTCTCTACCATCATGTGTCTCTACTATCATCATGTGTCTCTACCATCATGTCTCTACCATCACCATCATGTCTCTCTCATGTGTCTCCATCATGTGTCTCCTCCATCATGTGTCTCTACCATCATGTGTACTCATCAACTCTATCATCATGTCTCTAACACCATCATGTGTCTAACCATCACGTCTCTACCATTATCTCTACCATCACGTTCTACCATTATGTGTCTCTACCATCATGTGTCTCTACCATCACGTGTCTCTACCATCATGTGTCTTCACCATCACATGTATCTACCATCATGTGTATCAACCATCACATGTATCTACCATTATCACGTGTCTCTACCATCACGTGTCTCTACCATCATGTGTCTCTTCCATCATGTGTCTCAACCATCATGTCTCTACCATTACGTGTCTCTACCATCATGTCTCAACCATCACATGTCTGAACCATCATGTCTCTACCATTACGTGTCTGAACCATCATGTTTCTACCATTACGTGTCTCTACCATCGTGTCTCTTCCATCATGTGCCCATCCGTCTACTATAATGTGTCTCTTCCATCACGTCTCTACCATCACATCACCATCTAATATATAATAATGATCAATGCCATCTACCATAATGTGTCTCTTCCATTACGTCCCTATCATCATGTGCCCAACTGGTTCCATCTACCATCACACTCAATAAACTGTGTAGGTCATCATGTGCCCATCATACCATCCCCTGGCACCATACTAAATTCTTCTGTACAAGCCGTCACTTATGGAGGAAGCACAAGCTCCAAGAGGTAATCCATATCAACCGTACCAAGCAGTCAATCAATCATGATCAGGGAGCTGTCCTTTGTGTGCTTTAGACATATCATTTTAATCTACTTATCCTCCTATTTAATCAACTGAGTAAACACATTACAACTGTCACATCCATAAATTCCTTCCTAATTATGTAGTGTCAGTCTTGTCACTTACATGTATCTAATTATAACTGGCTTCATTCGTTTCCAGAATTTAGACTGAGACTGTCTCTTTAGATTTCTGAACCTAACAACAGGCTTGATTTTACCTGCGCATCTAACATCTTCAACTCTATGTCTGTCTGTATGTTCATGAAAACTCTTTGTTGTAATTTTGTTGTGAAAAGTACCATGTTGGTCTTCAGTTCTGAACTTCAAAAACTCACACATAAATCATCTTGTTTTACAACAACCGGATGTGATATCCTTTAAATGTTGCCTTATTTGAAATGCCAGTCAAAAAAGCATTGGTGATACCAGGTATACAGTGTGTTATGAGCTGTGTAAACCCTGGCATAACTCACAATATATACCGGTGATGGGGTACCATAGCTGTTAAAGTGTTTCCTTTCCCATATGGTTGAAATGTGTGGAGAAATTTCTGGTGCCCCTCACTTGATATTGATGGAAAATTGCTTAAAAGAGCCTCAGTTTACACTCACTCATTTCATAAACGTGAAAGAGCTGTTCGGAACTTCTTAACACTAATCTTACTGTCCAACCCAGTAACATGCTCACGTTCGTCTGAGAATTGCATTGGTTATCAGGTACAATAACACCAACTGGATCCTCTCACCTCGGGTTGTAATATAGTCTGTAACTTCAACAGAAGCAAGAAATATAACATATCTGCTACAAACTGCCTGTTTACAAAAGCAGTCATGACATATGTCCCCACCCATCTTCTGTTTCAAACTAGACAATAGTTGGTTTGGTTGTTGTTTAACATCGCACTCAGCAATATTCCACCTATATGGCGACAGTCTGTAAATAATCCAGTCTCCACCAGACAATACAGTGATCAACAGCATGAGCATCAATCTACACATTTGGGATATGATGACATGTGTCAACCAAGTCAGCAAGTCAGACCACCCAATCCTGTTAGTTGCCTCTTATGACAAGCATGGGTTGCTGAAGACCAATTCTAACCCGGATCTAACTAGACAACAGCATTTGTCAGACCATGTCATGCTTTATAGGATTTCAGATGTACCCAAAACAACGCCAACATACCCCCAACCCCCAAAGTACTGCATCATGATACAAATTGTGTTGAACCTCTAAAACACATCTAGTTCCCAGTACACTAGCCATCCTTCCATGATTATCCAATGTACTGTATGTTCACAAAACCAGTCTGAGACTAGTCAACTTCGTACATATTGTGCGACATATTTTAC